GGATTGGCTCACTGAGATTTGAGGTAAGAGTGGGAAGATTTTGATTGTTTGGGTTATACTTTTAACAGTGATTGGCAGCACAGCACAAAATGTGCTGATTAGATTTGCCAGAAGTATACTTGAGATCAAGCTAGTGGATGGGTTTAGAACCTGCTCTGTCTTCAACAGCAGAAAAAGTCAGTGCTGACTTGCAAGTCAACTTGGACATAATTTTTTGATTTCAAGGCCTGAATTTTTAATTTTTAATGCTTTTGCATTTTTTCTTGTGATCATTTCAAGTTTCTTGGCATCTTAACATCAGTGTGATTGCTTTCTTCCACTGAACACATCTGCTTCATGAATAATCTTGGTGGAAAATAGTGTAACTTTCAGATGACTTGGTAATTTTTTTCTTTCTCTCTGGCATTGTACTGAATAAACTTTAGCTATTGCTGTTTCCATCTCCTATTTAAACAGGAAAGAACCTTGTTAGCTGCTTTCTTTGCAAACACCAATGCATATTCTAACAGGTTTTGTGAAAGCCAAGTGTTGTTAAAATGCTTCCTTAACTTGCTACATCTTGAATCTTCCAGCCGGGGCTCATGAAAGTATCCACAAGTGTAACATCTTATGAGTGTGAAGATGGAAAGTTTTGCAGGCCTTTGTATCTTCTCCTCTGCTGTTGTTTAATGTAAATAGCTGGTAATTGGGATGTCACTGCTGATGTGCACTGTTCAGTCTGCAGGCAGTCAAAACAGGAAGCATTCAATTATTTGGAAGTTTCCTTTCAGTGGAATAAGACATTTCTTAAAAAAGCTGATGGTTGCAGTACTAAAGCACCCAGCTTACTTGTGACAAACCAGAAATACGAAGCACTCTGCTCCTTCCACTGCTGGATATTGCTGTATTCTCTTTGACCTTGATGAGCAGTTACCTGCAGAAGTGAGTGGGGAAACACTTGAAGAGGAAGGGAGCATAAACCAGTATTGTATTGAGCCACAGTTTTCTGGGCTCAGTTTGGTTTTCAAAACTTGAAAACGTAGTTTACATACAATAACAACACTTGTTAGAATTCCTAATTAAGGTACTGTGCTATTTGAAAAAAAACCTAGAAAAAACCTCTTTCTCTTCTTCAAAACCTCACACGTCTATTCCTGCTTTTAAAAGTGCTGAAGTCTTTTATATTTATATACATAATGTAATTAATCTCTCATGTGAAGATTCCTTGATGACATTTCTAATCTCTTGATTTTGCATACCTCAGGGAGAAATGTGATGCTGATTTCACTTAATCCCCCTGTTATTAACTTATGTGTTCAGCAGATCAATCTGAAGTGAAATGCTTCATAGTAGAACTCTTGTTTGCAGTTTGTCTGATCTGTAGTGTTCAACTCAAAAAAGAAACAAAACTAGACATGCAGCTTGCTGATTAAGAAGCTTACATGCTCAGGTTCTATTTTTTTAAAGATGACGGCATATAAACAACAGAAAACACCTTTTACTTGAGGGATCTCTGTTAGTTTCTTTATGCTACCTCATATTCTAGACCAAAGAGGCTGACAAGTTTCTTTCCAAGGCTGCTGATGGAAACATCAATTTTTTTGATTCTTCAGAATCATTAACATTTATTTTCTCTTGGATCAATGTCAATTAGCTGTGTGCATACAGCTGCAGACAAACTTGTTAAATGTGGGCATTTTCACTCTTTTAAACTGCTCCCTAACTTTTTGTAATGTTTGAACTAATAAAAGTTTGCTGTTGATTTCATTAAAGTTGTTTATGCTTTGTTAATACTTTGCTCTATACAAGGCAAATATTTAGAACAGTGCAACAATAATTTGAAAAGTTGACAGGATCTCCTCCTTTTTCAGGTGAAAATACGTGCTTCATCAACTGTGCCTGTACTCTGGGTGTTTCAAAAGATGAAAAAAATAGGGTAAAATATGCTCTTTATTCTCGGGATCTCCTCTGGTCAAGATGGCCCTGAGATGTATTAAAGGTCTCTTTTCCCCAACCCAGCTGTTGAACAAGGGGAAACACCCTGGGCTCTGACACTTTATTGTAGTAGTGAGTACTATTATAGTAGTGAGTACTATAATCAGAGTACTTTTTTAGAAGAGATTTTCTTTCTGTGATGAGGATCTGTGTGTAGAAAGCTCTTAAGATTTCGCTAATCTGTTTTCTTACACCAAGTAATGCTTATCCAGGAAACTACAGGCAGAAGTACTTAAGTACATTTTGTTTCAGTGTTTAGGTATCTCTTAAAAAGTCCCTTGACATTTGCCCTTAGGAGAAACAGATCTGGAGGTTTTCATAAGAGCCACTCAATAACATGCAGGTCCCAGGCAATAAAGGCCACAATGTGACTAAGCTGTCACACAAGCTCAGTTGCACAATTTAGAATTCAAAACCACCTCATCTTCTGGCAGCAAATGCTCTAGAGGAAGAAGCAAGAGACACCTGGCTATTAAACACTTAAATAAAAAACTTAAAACATGCATGCTATTAAAAACTTAAATAAAGGGTATTGCCATCCCATCATGAAGTTGCATGAAAAACAAACAGAAGAACATTTCCTTATCCACTTAGAAAATGCATCCTTCCTTGTCATGTGGTAAAAATGAGACTGAGCAGCAAATCCTGAGCCTACAGATGAAACCGTGTTTTGCTCTGGTAGTCTCAAACAAAACTGAGATGTGATTCCCTAAAACACTGTGTTTCAATGAATATACAGAGCAAGTGAGTATCTTCTAGCAGTGAAGGATCACTTTTTCTGTGTGCTGCCTTTGAAACAGCTTCCTCATGCAGAAGCAGCCATGCATGCTGCTGGAAAACACGCACATGCATGCTTGCTGTGTTGTGTGTTGCTGGGATTCCCAAAAATAAAAAAAAGGAAGCTGTTTCATGCCTGACTCGCAGGATCAGAGTGTGACTATTTCAGAGTTTAATGTTTAAATGCATAGGTTCCTTTTTCCTTGTAAGAGGTGGGAATGGTGGCTATTAGAAGTGTCCCTGTCACCATGGGCTGTATTCTGTCCCTGTGTTGCCCTTGTGCCTTGGTCCTTCCTTGCACACCCTCTGTGCTGTTTTGTGCAGTCTCTAAAGCTGGCCAAGGTAAAGAACACCTTTTTATTTTACAGGTTACTGGTTAGCCTTGCCCAGGAAGGTGAGAGGAAAGAATAATTATTAAGCAAAGGATATTGTAGTGCTTAGGGTGCAGTAAGCATCTGCTGAGATCCCATCTGGATGTGACAAACGTGCTCAGTGAGTTTTGGCTCTTTTCTAGCCAGATTCACATTCATGGACTTTTTAAAATTAAACCCCCCAAATTTACATTTTTTAAAATGCAACATTTATTTTTTTGAATTAAATACTGGTTTTGGTTCCCCAGCACGTTACCTTTGAAGGTACTACACTCACAGATTTTTCTAGAATAATATTATTCATTCTGATACAGAATTATTATGTGGAATAAATGCTAGGGATTGAAGCTTCATGTCACAGCAGAAGGGTGGAGAAGCCTCAAGTTGGTGCTGCCTGATTGTGCTTAGCTGCTGCCCGAGGCTGCCCTGGCCCTCTTGCCCATCCCTGTGGGTGATGCTGGGGGCGGGGGCTGTCGCGATAGGGGCGGGCCCGGGGCGGCGGGGCTGTCGCGACAGGGGCGGGTCCTCCCGCCGCCGGCCGCAGCCCCCGGGCCGAGCGGCGCTGCTCGGTGCCCGTGCCGCCTCACGGGCCGAGGCTCGCCGCTCCGAGCCGGGGATGCTCTTAGCGGCGAACAGCCCTGTCGGGGCTGCTGCTGCTTCGGGGAGCAGAGCCCTGCAGAGCTTGTTCTGCCCTCTCTCATACCCCTGTTCTGCTCTCTGTGATACCCCATACGGTACTCGAGCGGCAGCTGAGATTTATGATTACACATGCGATATTAAATTCTAAACCTTGATTTTAAATTTAAAAAAAAATTGTTCGCCATTTATATTTTTAAGAAGCGGGTGAAGAAAAACATGCAGGTAGACCGCACTTTAAAACAGACCTAAGATGCATTTCGCTTCAGAAGGAACAGGCGAGGGCTGGTAATTAAAAGGACAGCAGACATAGAAGTCTGTGTGAGGAGGATCAGCTCCAGAAGTCAGAATGAGGTCACCTGACAAAGGAATTTTCATGATGCCTTTGGGGGAATAGACAGGATGTGTAGCAAGGGAGAGCTACCCACCTGCAGTCTGCATTGAGCGAGGCGTTTCCTCCTCTGACACTTGTATTTCATACTGTCAGTAGCAAAGCTGGTAAAAGAGCAGGATGTGTGCTCTGCCGGCAGGAAGGCTGCTGCTGTTGCCAGCCTCCACCTGTCCCAGGGATGCTGTGCTGGTGCTGCTCCTGGTGGAGCTGCTCAGTGCCCAGCAGCTGAGCAGGAAGGAACAGACAAAGCAGTGAGCTCTGCCTGCTGACTGCGTACAGTTTTGCCAGATCCTTGTCTCTCATTATCTTATTGTTTCTAATGTCTCCTGGGGTTTTCTGTTGAAGTTCTGGGCAACTATAAAATCAGATTTTAAGACTGTTTCATGTACATAATCCCAGTCGTTTTTTTCCTAGAAAGCAGAGATAGGTTATGTTTCAGGGTAGTTGGGTATTTGGCAGGTAACTGGGGAAACAGAAAATTAGAAAGTAGTTTTCAGGGTTTCTAATATCCAATCCCTAAATACCTGAAGTCTGCAGGAAATGAGATAAGTCATTTCATTGCTGTTGAGGAACTGAGAAAATGCCCATCTGTTATGATGATTTGGGTTCTTTGTGTTTTCTGACGTGCAGACAGATACAGTCTGTATCAGATACCAATAGTCAGATTTGCAAAGGAGCAGGCTCACTTTTTTTTCTCAGTTGCAAGTCTTTCTAGATATTTTAACATCTGTGTCTCAATGTCTTTTAAAAAGTTTGGTTTTTTACTTCACTTATTGGATTTAATTAAGCAGTAAATCATCAACTCTTTTTTTTTTCCCAGGTTACTTTGATGATAATGAATAAACAGAGGCTTGTTTTGTCTCTGAGAAAATAGGCTCTGGTCTGAATGTTTGAATTGCTTCATTATAAATGAAAATAAGCTTAAGAATTTCCTGAGCACTCTGTTCTCAGGAGCAGGGTTTCTAAGAAGAGGAGCCTTGTCTGTTCTGTCAAATTAAGATGATTGTAAAAAGCTGTGGATTTTTTACTGATGAGATTTAATCCTCAAATGTATTTTTGCGGTATATATGTAAAGTTTACCAAAAGCTTCAAGTTAAAGCAAAACCTTTAATTCTTAAGATTTTCTGTTTAGAAAATACCTCGTGGTTAAGTGAGAAACTGAATTTTCAGTGTGTAGTATTTTCCAGAAAATGCTCCTGGTTTAGTGGCAGAGACTCTGAACAGCCTGAGAAGGAAGGCATGTGTTTGTGTCACTGTGCAATTAAAGCTACAGTGGAAAGTGCTTATATATAAAAAGTACGATGTCTGCTTCTGTAGGTAGGCTGTAATACACCAAATAAATCCATAAATTAGCAGGAAGGCTGCTTTGAAACCACAACAGTGGTTGCAGCCATGCAGCAGAGGTGCTGTGCTAACTGCAGGGGCTTGGCTGCTTCTGAGACCTGCTGGGACAGCCTGGTACCTAAGAACTGACATTCCCAGACTGGGGTTTTCATTCACCTGTTGAAACACTGAGAATGTGCTCTGGATTGGATGCTTCTCTATGGCATGGTGGTTTGCAGCACCTACTGAATTTGTTCTGCTGAGTTTATCGGGTTTATTAGGTTAAGGTAAGTTTTCCTTTTAACAAGGTGGACATGAAGCACTTTATTTCTTTGTGTCACTCTTAAAACTTGAACCATAACATTTTTTTCTCTGTTGTCTTAGCTGTAAAGGACCCTACAGCTGTAGAAAGAGCAAATTTATTAAACATGGCTAAACTGAGTATCAAAGGACTCATTGAATCAGCCTTGAGCTTTGGGCGCACTCTGGATTCTGACTACCCACCTTTGCAGCAGTTCTTTGTTGTCATGGAGCACTGCCTGAAGCATGGTCTGAAAGGTGTGGATATTGGTCTAGCTGCATATTTCTCATCCTAAACATGCCATTTTTCTTCCTTTCTTTCTGGAAGTAGACAAAAAATGTAACATTGCATAAAGAATTGAAAAAAAATGTAAATGGGCACCTTTTATAATGAATAGTGTAATTAATTCTTCACCACATGTATTTCCACATTTACCACCTTGTCCTTTTGTACAGCATTTGTTGTACGAGGTCCAGGGTTTACCAACTGCATGTATGTGTGTAGTGTATATTTTTAGCTGGACATCCTTTCTATGTTATTTTTTCTAGCATATCGATTTTATATTCACAGTAAAGGAAGTTGGCTTTGGATACTGGTGAGCTGACCAGTGTCTCAGTTAAGAGTTATCTGGAACTCTGGACTCAACCCTTTCACACACCAGATATTATGAAGGAAGCTGCTGCAGTGATTTAAATTAATTCAGTTACTTGATTTTTCTCTTCATAGTAAGAAAATCCTTTCTGAGTTACAATAAAACCATCTGGGGTCCTCTGGAACTTGTGGAGAAATTATATCCAGAAGCTGAGGAAATAGCAGCAAGTGTCAGAGATTTGCCTGGCCTTAAGTAAGTAGTATTGTTAAAATGCAGCAGGAAAATAAAGGACCTGATTGAGAATCTGCAGGTGTCTCATTATTTCATTTGGCATCAAACAAGCCTTTGCACAGCTAGCACCTGATGTTGGGGGAGTGTACAGGTGAATGGGAGGTGGATAAAAATGCAAAAAGGAGCAGGTTGTGTCAGTCACTCTGCAGTCTAGAACTGCAGCAAACATTGGTGAGTGCAGTCAGCAAAGGTGGTATCAAACCACAAGGTGACATACCAAAGAGGAAAGAATTAGGCAGCTTTTGAGATTCTTGCCTGCACGGTCCTACTCAGTTGTAAATTTATTCTCTTCCCATTCCAGTGCACTCTGCTTTTGTATTTAGCTTTATACTTGGCCATCCATGATATTCCAAAAGGGCTTGGTTGCACTGACTGATGTAAGGCAGCACAAGGGTTCTAATTTATAGCTTTAGACCTTATCTAAAGCACATAGGCATGTAAATTATTATTTACTCTTGTAGCAATCCAGAGGAAGTAATAACCTTGCCAGGTGTGTTACTCTCTTCCTATCCTAATACAGCTTGTGAGGGGGTTTTCTTTTTCATTGATGTCTTACCATTTGTAAGTATGCAAGCACTAGAAGAGGAAGGTGAAATTTGCTGGATATTAGTGTTTGCCAGTTACATAGGTAATTTTTTTATCTTTTTTGGCATTTTCTTCCTAAGATAGCACTGAAGTTGTACACAATTAAAGGCAGAGACAGAGTAGGATTGGGAAGGGAAGCTGCCGTGGTGGTTTGTGATGGGAATTTGGTTCATTTTCTTGCAATTCCCCTCAACTCTTAACAACCAAATTGCAGAAAGGAGTCTCTACTGTTGCAAGCATTTTACTTCAGCAGAAAACAGGACTTTCAAGACTATCAGGCTCTCGTGCAGTCTATACTCTTGTTTTTCCTGGGTCTGCTCCCAAGCTCAGCCGAGTAGTTGAAAGTCTTTCTGTTATCCCAAAGCTTGGAGTCAAAGCTTAAACATTATGGCTTTCCACATATGAGGTGGTGCTCAACTACTAGTTTAAAGTACCTCTTCAGAAACACCAATTGCTCCACCAGTAGACTGATAAGGTGTTAAAGAGCATGATTTAATCAATATGTTGTTAATTTGGGGCTGTTTGTCCTCATGGCCTTTGTTTCAGGACGCCGCTGGGCCGTGCCCGGGCCTGGCTGCGGTTGGCGCTGATGCAGAAGAAAATGGCCGATTATCTTCGCTGTTTAATCATTCAGAGGGACCTCCTCAGGTGAACAATTCACTGGATTTTGTTTGCAACTTATTTTCAGAGGTTTAGTCTCCTAAAAAATAATCCTGCATTCCCCCGCTGTGCTCTGGGAGGAGGTGACTTCATCCCTACCATGTGTGTGGTTTCCACTGAGCTGCATTGGAAGGAGGGCTCTTGCTTTGGGCTTTGCTTTCACAGTTCTAACACTGGCATTGTCCTCTTCTGGTATAACTTCTCCTGTCTGGTGGAGTCATTAAAGCACAAATGCTTCTTCATTTCAGTTTTATAAGCTATACATATTTTTAAGACTGACTTTGTGCCTAGCTAACACTGGTATGTCAGGATGTCGTTGGTATTCAGCAGCTATGGACTTTTCCAGTGAAAAGACAGTTTGTTACATAGAATCTAAAATTTTATTTTAAAAGTACAAGCAGAAGAAAGTGCTTGTGTTCTCTTGTTCAGTGAAGTATTTATATTTGTAGTAGTTTTGGTGCAAAACTATGACAATATTTTAAAAACCTTTTTAGCTTTTCAGCCCTTTAAGTTTCTCTTTTATCCATTTAATCTCTTCCTTGGTTCCATGAATTTCAAGCATGTATGCACTAAATTACAGTTTTTGTTGGTTTGGTTTTTTTTTTTCCACAAAAGGTAATTCTTTTGCTATTCTTCCTTTGCATTGCTTTTTTTTTGGCTTGCTTTTTAAAAATTTTTGTTTGTTAGTTTGTTTTTGTTTGTTTGTTTTGTTTTCTTTAAAAGTCAAAGTACATCTTGTTACCCTCCCCACAGTGTCCCAGCCATCTGGAGCCTAAGGCAGCATCCTTGTTTTTAATAGCCTCTGAGACTAACCATGCACTTTGAAGTTTTAAATATTTATGGGGTGAAAGTATGGGCAGGGCCAGTTCCTCTTTACAGATGCTGTAGTAAGGCTACAATAAGACAAGATTTAGATGTGTATGTCACTTCTGGTTAATTTATTGGATGTATATCGAATTGATGTACCAGTGAGATGCAATTTTCTCCTTCACACAGTGAGTTTTATGAGTATCATGCACTCATGATGGAGGAGGAAGGAGCAGTGATTGTTGGGCTGTTAGTTGGGCTGAATGTGATCGATGCCAACCTGTGTGTGAAGGGAGAAGACCTGGATTCACAAGTAAGTCCATGCAGGTAAAGGAATGTACATGCAATCCGTGAGAGTTTTCTGTACTTTTGTTTGTGGATTCTGTTACTTTGGAGTGGTGACTGGTTAGAAATCCTACCTGGGACTGTTCAGGGTGTGATGATCCAGCTCCTGGGTCTGTGGGGCTGTTGCCTTAACCTCACTATCAGCGGGGTCAGACCTTTGAATGGAGATAATGGTCAGAGTGCAAGGGTGAAGTTTTGTGCCTTGTCCTCAAATGGAGTTCTTTCCATCTGACTTGTGTGACCCATCCTTTTCTTCTGTGGGACAAGTATAGTTCCATGATCAGTTCACCCTGCTTGGTTCGTTTATTGCTGTTCTGGAACATCACAGGAGTGATACAGAGACCAGAAACAAACACTCCCTTATGACCTCTTAAGAGGGTGACCATGATTCTGCAAAGCAAGACCTGGAATTCTTCCTGCTTTGAATGGGCTTTGACTTTTAACCCTGATCTTTTCCAAGAAAATATTAACAGATTCTGTTTAAAGGCAGATGCACAGGTATTTGTAAATAAATGTAGACTGTGTTCAGCCCTGATTGGTTTTTTTCAGCTTCTTTGTGGAAAGAAATCATAGTAGCTTAAGTGGTTGTTACTATATTCATATATTTGATGAAAAAATAGCTCCTCTGGGAAAGAGAAGTTACAGCGAATTGTCTGTGTGCTTTTGAATCCCGCGGTTAACTTGTCCTCAGTTGTTTGTTCTAGTTACTGTGTAATATTAGTTTCAGGCCCTCATCTTGTGTAAAAAAATATATAACATTGACAGGCCTGTCAATGAAAAACTTATCAACTTGCTTTTAGTGTTGAGAATTAAATATGTGTATTACAGACCACAAAATCTGTTGCTAGCTATAGCTCTGTTATCACTGGGTGGCCTTGCTGCATGAGAGAGAGCTCAATTTGAGAAGGTAGTAGTGGCTGTGCAGATGAGATTCTGATTGTAGTGTGTCCCAGTTTGGCATTTGTAACATGTCCAGAATAATTCTGGTTTTGAAGAGTAGTATAAAGAAGGCACCTTGTCAGAGAAGCCAGAAGTAGCAGGTTTTATTGAGCAGAAAGGCAAACTTCTGAACCTTTATGGCAGCCACAGCCAGGAGCATGGTTTTGGTATGTTGACAAAATGCTACTCAGTGGTGAAATGTGTTTATGCAGCAGTAGTGAATTGAAATAAAGTAACTGTTATAGATAGAGCATTTTACCTTATTTATTAGACGTGGTATTTTGCTTTAATCAGAAAAACATGTTTTTAGAAAGCTTTTTGAGAAGAGAATTTTAAAAAAAGACATGGGAATAACAAACAGGATCCTGACAGGAGAGCACTGTATAAACAAGTAAATATTAAACTTAGTAAAATCTTGTTTAAAGTGTTATAGTTCAGGTTTTTCAGCTTCTGGATGAAACTGGATGAACCTTAAAAATGCTGTAACTGAGGTTTTATCAATTGCATAAATACAAGGCTGTAAGTATCAGCAGCACTTATTTGCATGAGATGAAATGATACCTTTGCTCTCCCCTAGGTTGGGGTGATTGATTTCTCTGTGTATTTGAAGAGTGATGATGACATTGGGGGTAAAGAAAGGTATGTCCTCACAAAATACCTCCTCTTTTCTATGTTAACAAATGATTTCTTGGCTGGGGCCTAGGTGAGGTTCCCTGAAAATGAAATGTTCTCATCCTAAGAAGAATGCCCCAGTGTGTTGTTCTGTGTTATTAGTTAGCTGGGGGAATATTTGCAGTCTGAAGCAAACCTCAGCAGCATCACCTCCTCCCTCCAGCTAGGCTTGTGAAAAGGAACCTGCACACCTTTAGACCTTGGAATTAGTCAGAGTTTCAAAGAACCAGAGTTATGGCAGAGTAAATAAACATCCTTAACCTTCTCAGACTGTTATGTTTCATGTAGAGAAATTGTTTGCAGTAAAAACATTGGATTTTTTTGTGTCTCACTGATACAACGTGTGTGTTGTTACCTTCATGAGTATGAGATGAAGTTGCTTCCTTTCTTTTTAAAAACACAGTTGAGATGGACATGTGCATATGATAAACATGTATATTTTCAGTTCATGGTTTAGTACATAATTTTGTTAATTTTATTTTGTGCTTGCTTTAGAGATATACAGATTGCTGCAATATTGGACCAAAAGAATTATGTTGAGGAACTAAACAGGCAACTGAAGTAAGTATTACTTTGAAGTATGGGTGTCAGGCCAGGCTTACAGGTAAGTGTCTTTTGTACCACAGCTTTGTGAGAGAACTTCAGAGAAAAAACTGCAAATTCTCCATGTTTAGACAGAAGATTTAGTGAAGTAGGAAAAGACACTCTCCTGGAGAGCTCAGTGACAGTTTTCATGCTTTTGGACAGTTTTTCTTCAAAGAAACACAAAACCAACAGGCCAGAGCTGTGAAGGTCCTCATGATTCATAAGTTCACTAGAATGAAAAGCTTGGTCTGGATTCTAACTTTGTTCCATTTAACAGTTTGCCAGAACTGGTTTTGAGTTATCTGGTGAGTCCATATGGTTTTATTTCTTTGCCTTGCAGAATATTTTAGTTTGTGGCTTTAATGGCTAATATTGAAACAGAATAAGCTCACTGCTTGCTAGAAGCTACTTGTATGTGGTAGGTTGAGGTTCCCATTGAAATAATTTTCAGGAAAGCAGCATTTTCCTCTTTGCTGGATGGAACAAATCTAGTCCACCACTGTGTTTGTTACTGTGCAAACAGAAGAACAGATTTAAATTCTCTGAAGACTATTGTACAAAAGTAAAGTCTGAAGGGCTAAAAAGCTAAAAAACCCAACAAACCAAAACAAACAACAAAGCCAGAACGAGCTTCTGTAGAATCTGTAGAACAGCTGGTCTAGCTCCTTTTTGAAATGTAATCATCTTTTAAAATTTTTAATGCTGGTAATCTGGATCATTGGTTACTCTAAGGCTCCTGTTAGAGTAAGGATATTCTGCTTTGAAATGGTGTCACTGAGCAGAAACCTTCAACAGCACAGAAAAGCTGAGCACATCAAATATGAACAAAATGAAAGTCAAGGAGGAGAAAGGAGTTATTACAATTAAGGGCAGTGGTGTTTATGCCATGTCATTATCCAGGTGAGCTTCTGTGTGTTCTTGTACTCTGGTTTATGCACAGAAATTCCTGTCAGATCAGTCATTCAGCAACTCTCCTATTTTATTTCAGTTCAGCTGTTTGTGTTTAGACATCCTAAAATGTATTAATCTCTCTGCCCTGCTGTTACTGATGAACTGGCAACTTCTGAGGACACCACAGAGAAATATGTGAAAAAGTAAATGATGTTACAGAATAGGTTATCTGTTTCCCTGTGTGTGAGGTGCAGCCTGAAAAAAGGTGCTTCCTGCAGAAATAGGCAATCAGGTTAAGAAAAGGCCTAGATGTAGTTTGATACTATAAAAAGCAACAGAGTAATAAAAGGCAATAAAACTCTGGTGAGACTCCTAAATGAAGTCAAGAAACATCAAGAAAGAGATAGTGTGAGGAGAAATCTCAAAAAATGCTGAGAAACAAATGATTTTATGAAAGAAATGTGTTTTGGAGGAAGAGAATCTGGAGAATGGTTTTGTTCTATAGGGGGAACTCATTTATCTTTTGGATGCAACATGGTTGTGAGGATAAAGGAAAGGGAGAATGCATGGGAAGTTCTGGCCAAGAAGGAGTTTAAGTGACAGGGGTGACATTGGGAATTGGAAAGAAGCATACAAATGTTCAACAAAGGAGAGTAATTTTCTTATATTTAGGAAAACTTCCAGTAATGGGAACAGACCTCACAGCTCTTAACCATTAATCACTGTACCTTGCATTAAAGATTTGAGCTTGGTTGAAGGAGTTTTGATGTAATATTGAATACCATTGTTTCTTTTTCCCTTTCAGTAGCACAGTTAGCAGTCTACATGCAAGAGTTGACTCACTGGAGAAATCAAACACGAAGCTGATTGAAGAGGTACTTTTTATTTTAGTAATGTGTAGCATATTGTTTTCTCTGAAAGACTGTTCTTCTAAATATACTTACATTATTTTAAGCTATGGGAGCTCAGTATAATATATTCAGATACCTTTTTTTGGCTTAAAGAAGGGCAGCAGCTGCAGGGACTTGAAGTCAGCTTGCCAGGTAGCCTCTAGAATCAGTACATCAATTCTGTAGAACATTGCAATTTCCAACTTTGGACAAAATTAGAAGAGATTCCTTTCTCAGTGCCAGCTGTCAGTCTGATTTGTGCAGATGACTAGTCTAGAATGGATGACACCAGTTGCTACAAAGAGACAAAAAGTAGTTCACCAAGCAATTTCTGTTCCAGCCCTCAGCTTTAGCCAAAGGATTGTTTCTTCTTTACTGGATGCTTATACACAGCTTTCAGACTTGTCTGGTTCTGGGTTTGTGTTTATAGCCTACATTTCTGGTTGTCTTTGATGCTTGACTGGTTTCCAATATTTTTAGCTTTATAAGATAGAGCACACATTTTTTAGTTAATGAAGGAGAAAATTGAAAACTCTAAATTCAGCTGCTGAAGGAACAGCTAGCTCACTCTGGGAGTAATGTATCCAGACAGAGTGAGAGCACCTTTTCTGAGTGTTAATTCTCAGAGTATTCTGGTTCCTTTATAAGCTTTCAGCCCAACTCTACACCTATTTTGATCCTTTGGTTTATAATTCTGACATTAAGCTGGGTACTGTAGGGCCCAGTTATGAAATGTCATCTTTTGTAAATATGTTTGTTGTTCATATGGGGGAGGCGTTCTTATGTAAGCTGCTCCAAATCACATATTAAGATGCCCAAAAAAGAAAATGAAAACTGGATGAACTTGAAGCCAAGTGGAAAGCAGTAGTTGAGGATGAGGAAAGAGAATTAATTGAAGGTCTTTAAGTCATAATGGAGCAATAAAAAGAAAGCATGTTCTTCACCAAACATGAAACAGTGAAGTATCCTGAACACACTGCTGCTGTGTAATGAAAGTGACTCATTAAAACCAGGGGCTTCATGCTTTCTTTAAAAACAGTTAATCCTCTGTTTGGCAGGCAGGGAGAATAGAGCAGAGAATGTCTTGCATTAATCAGAACATTTTTCCCTTTATTTCTACTCTCAAAAGTAGTCACAGTGCTTTTGGGTTTTTTTTAATTTGTTTCTTTTCAGTTAGCAATAGCAAAAAACAATATAATTAAACTTCAGGAAGAAAACCATCAATTAAGGAGTGAAAATACTCTGATTTTAATGAAAACACAGCATCATCTAGAGGTATGTTACTTTTACCACTTTTAATGTTGTAAGATAATGTGGTTATTTTTTGTTCAAAAGTTTGTACATCTCAGCTTCAAGTAAGCTTAACTTTTCCAAATCTGAAACAACTTTTATGAGGGAAAGAGCTTATTAAATCTGTGGAGCTTTCTAAATGGCATAAGTAAATTAAAATTCTAGGACACGAGATTGTTTTACAGTCGTATGCATGTGTAGTGTATTCAAGTGACCCCAAAGGAGGACAGCACTGCAGTATAGATGTTTTGCTGGTTTTACTCAGCTCTCATTATTTAGCCAATGGCCACAGAGCAGAAACAGCTCTTTCCATGTTTGTCCTGTGCTTGGAGGGTGTGTTTGTAAGTTTTTCTTCACATTCCCCACAAGCATTGAATTGTGGCAGCACATGTTGCAGGTGAGACGGATGCAACACACAGAGTATCACCATGTACTTTCAGAAGGCTGCGTCTGCCCTTCTTGTTCCTTAGCCCAGCCTTTAACACCCCTCATGTTCCTGCCTTGCACCTGCGTGCCCTCTGTTCCCTTTCCTGAGTGGTCAGCACACCTGGGCACTCCCTGGCTCATTGCTGTCAGTGCTGCTCACCTGCTTCTCACAGCTGTGCCCTTTGGGATGAGGCTCGGCCCTGGCCCCACTCCCGGTTACTACCAACTGCATGCCTACATTCAATTCATGCCATCAAGCTGCAGAACTTATGAGGAGGGAAGACAGAAGCTCTGTACATTTGCAGGCAGCCAAGGTGGACGTGGAGGCAGAGCTGCAGACCTACAAGCACTCGAGGCAGGGCTTGGATGAGATGTACACGGAGGCGCGCCGGCAGCTCCGCGAGGAGGCACAGCTGCGCCAGGTGGGTGCTCTGGCCCTGCCCTCTCACAGCACTCACTGTCTCAGCACTTCTGCTGCTCTGGGCTTTAGCTGCTGCCTTTTGTTTATATCAGCAGCCTTTCCTCTAACTGCCTATAATAAAAAGGGAGTTTTCACAGAGCATCAGTATTTCTAAAAAAACAAACACATTTTCCTTGGATAAATTTTTAAGTAAGCTTTTAGCAATACTGTGTGCTCTCTATCTATGCTAAATCTTTCCTGTGAAAATACATATATATTGGTTCTATTTTTGTAATTAATACTTAGGCAACTCTGTACAACATTGGCAGGGTAATCTCTTGTCATGTGAGTTGTCTTCTCCCAGAGTGATTATATGAGTGTCACATTTATGGATAATTTGCAAAGGTAAAGAGGGGCAGAATTTTTGAAGTGGTAAAATAGGTGGTGCTGCAGCTCTGTTAGAGTTTCAAAACAGAAATAAATCATTCCATAGTTATCTAAATCCTTTGTGTTGCACTGTGTTGTGTTTTATAGGATATGGAGAATGAGCTAGTGGTTCAAGTCAGCATGAAACATGAGATAGAGCTTGCCATGAAGCTGCTGGAGAAGGATATCCATGAGAAGCAGGACACCCTCATCGGCCTGCGGCAGCAGCTTGATGAAGTCAAAGCAATTAATGTGGAAATGTACCAAAAGCTGCAGGTAAAGGGACAATCTGCTGCTAAACTGCTGAGTGGATCACAGACACCGAAATGCATTATTACCATTCTGGTCAGCTGGATGCTGCTGCTCCCCAGAGTTTTGGTTTCCTTGTGCCTCTTAGGTCAGCTTGACATTTTGGAGCATTACCTATGTAAACATGGTTTCATACCAAGAAGCTCTTAAGGCAGTCACTTACTGGCTTTAGGGGAGAAAAGAGCATGAGGATAAGGTCATGGCCCAATTATATCCTTGGTGAAATAGAGACAGTAATAGTGTACTGTAACAAGGACATTTTTTTGGCCTGTGTTGTATAAAAAAAACAGAAGAATGTAGGCACATAGTGAGGAGAAGTCCTGACCTTCCAAAGTAGGGAAAGGAAGACAAGGGTATGTTAAATGAAAAAAGCTAATTACAGTTTTGGGTTTATTTCAAAATCTCTCAACAAATTAAGAAAATCTCTTAACAACAAAATGCCTTTTGTGTGAGAATTTGGATCTCAGGGACCCCAAATGCAGTTAACAAATTGCCATATACCAGTGAATTACTTATGCAAAACATGACTGATTTAGGGAGTAAATTATGAAAACCAGCACAAGAAACCATCAAATCTGTGGCAGAATGAGGGGAAAAAAATTAGGATGCTGTGGAGAGGTTATTAAAGTGATGGACAGAGGGTTCTACTTTTCCCATCTGCAAATGTGAGGAAACTGGACCAGAGGATGAGAAATATAAATAGAGCTGGAGAGAAAAATAAGAGAATGTTCTCCAGTGTTAGGATCTGGGGGGAGTTGATTTGCAGGAGTTCCTTGGTGTTTTTCTGGACTAAGCTCTTTGCTCTTCACTGGTAAGGTTCTAATGGGCTACTTGGTCAGTGAATTTAACTTTGACTTCTACAGTGATTAATTAAGGAAGGAAATCAAAGGGGAACATTTGTACTTATTGAATGTTAAATAGCATCTACACTTGCAGAGTATAAAACTACAAATTTTCTAGGCATAAGATTTTCCATACTGTTCTCAAGGATTTTTGGAAGGCAATCCTTAAAGAGAATCAAAACTTGATTTTTACCATGTGCCCCTTTAGACACTGAAAAAAAGTCCCCACAAGGTAGTGGTGCAATTATACAAACTTCAGTTTTGACCTCTTTTGTAACACAGGTTTCTGAAGATGCTATGAAAGAAAAGAATGAAATAATTAGTCGATTAGAGGATAAGACCAATCAAATTAATGCAACTATGAAACAACTGGAACAAAGGTACAGCCTCATCTTTGTTTCTCTTTATTCACAACTCCACTCCCTTACATCTTACTGCATTCTCACAGTTGCTATTGCAATGTAATTTTCAACTAAAACATTTAAACCAAACCTTCCTGAAACTTCTAATTAGTGCTTTGCTGTTGGACTGTTTTTTTTTCCTGTTGACAAACACACTCACTTTAAATACAAACTTAATCTTTCAGTTTTCTTCCTCTGCCATCCTTCTGGTCCTAGGTTTTTATGCTGATATCAAAAGTCATTCTTTCAGTTGTTTCAAAATTCTGATTCCTTATTGCCTATTTTTTCCCCCCCCAAATGAAATGCAATAGAAACTGAAGCATTAACCTTGCTTATACTTAAGCATATGCTTAATATAAACATTAATGCCTTCAAGGGTCACTGGTTGTTGCTGAAGCTGTTATAATTGTTGTCCATTGCTTTGGAAGTGCCATTATTTTCAATGACTTAATGAGTTTTCACACTGAAAGGTTGAAAAGTGAAAGACTAAAATTCCAGAATATAAATTTACATTATGTTAGACTGCATGTACTGCATAATACTAAGATGTGGTTCACATGTTTTGATTTAGTAGCCTTATATGCATCATTGATCTTGATCTTTCTAATTGTAAAATATAACATATCCATAAGCCCTGTCATGTTGGTGTTCGACATGTCTTTTTTTTCATTTAAATCTGATTATGAAAAACATGCTTATGTATTAAAAAAATTAGTGACATGAATATTCTTTTATTGACATCCTTTTTTCCTCTTTTTTCTTTTTCTTTTTATCCTTTTATCCCAATTTTTGTTTTTACTGTTTTGCTGCCTTCATCTGTCTTTGATTTTTGTCCACTGCATTCATGAAGTGACAAAGATCTGTTAACTCAAACTAGGACTATTGCAATGTCATTCGTCAAATGTGCCAGCAATGAGGCTCAGCACCAGTATAAACTTGTCAAGGATATATCATTCTGACAGCTCCTCCAGATCTCTTGTGTTGAATAATTGCTGATAAAATAGGACTTCAGAATTTTCCAATTCAAACTTGAAAGTGGTATTAGAAATCCTGCACTGTAACTGATTGTAGCTGGGTTCTGGTTTGTTTTCTGAAAGAATATCACCTCCGATCTCACTTTACCCCTCCTAAAAAAAAAAAAAACAAAAGAAAAAAAAGTAAATTACTGCACTATTATTAAGCAAATGTAAGCTAGTTTTCTAATGCTATTGAATCACTTATTTGTCAAATTTTATTTTAAGAGGTTAGATATCTTTACTTTGACTGCACAGTTTTTATGACACTTGTTTCTAATTAGTGATTTTTCTGGTTCTTTGGTACTAAGAGATTTAAAAAGTAGCCCTTCTGGCTAACACTTCCCTTCTCCCCTGCTTATTCCTTTCACTTTTAGGCTGTATTTACCCCAAAAGCAGCTCTCTGTTGGGTTCTGTGGTTGTAACTAGCAGTGTTTTCTTGAGCAGAGTGGCAGGAGCTGGAGGGAGGGAGCTGAGCCTCCCTCAGGAGGATGGGTGTGAGGAAAGAGGGTGGTGCCACCATCTGTGTTGTGTGTGTGCAGTGAAGGGATGCCAGCCTCTGGGACAGCTGAAGTTCCACCTCCCTGATGTCCTGGGGTGAAACATTCTGGTGAAGTGAAAAAGTCTTTGGAGCCTGCTTCCTGAGGGGCTCCAGCCAGAGACAGAGTGCTCCAGCAGATTGTGTAGCTGTGACTCCTGCTAGCACAGCTGCCCTGGAGGTGGAGCAGTGAGAAGGATTTAGTTAGGGCCAGCTCTGAACCTGCCTAACCCGTTTGTCAGCTGAGGATCTGCCTGGCTGTGTCTGCACCGAGATCAACACCGTGCTTGTGCCCAAACCCTTTTCCCTCCCTCCACCCATCATTAGGCAGCTCTTGCAGCTCTTGTTCCTGCTGTGAGCTGCTGCTTGCCTGCACTGCAGGAAGAGCTCAGGCTGCTGACTGCCCTCAATACACTCCCTGATGTTTTCTCTGAAGTCTGTAGTGGATGTTGGCTGGGAAAATGATTGTAGAGTTTTGCAGCACAAGAGGATGTGTTTGTACAAGTGGGGACAGGATGCAGTAGTACAGAAAGGGTTTCTACTGCATGGTTATGTGTTAGCTTGTTCCTTGATTTGGAGACAGAAAGAGCCTTTAACATAAGGTGGCTACTGAAAAATAACTGTCTTCCATCTTCAAAGAAAACCCAAACCAGAAACACTGAATGAACAACAGGAAGACCATGGCACGAATGGGAGCCTTTTCCACCTCAGTGTTATCTACACAAACAAGTGTCTGCCCCAGCATCATCTGCATGCCAAATCCAGCTGCAAGCTGCAGCCAGCTCAGCATCTGCCTGAATCTCAGCAGTGCAGCCAGCCCTGGTGCCGGGCTGGAGATGATGCTGCAGCTTTTGGGTAGCAAGCTCCCTTTCTGCCTTGCTTGTGGAAACAGCTCTGCAGTTGATTTTGTGATTTAGGGAAGGGTTTAATGTGCTCTTGGTGTTGGTGTCTTGTGTAGCTTCAGTCAGCTTCTGCACTGTGGAGGGACCTGCTCTTTCCCAATATTTTCGTTCCCAAGGCTTGGCCTCTGCACTACCATTGCAGATGTGACTGGGAGCATTCTTCAGGCCCCTGGGGTGGTTGAGTGAGATTGTGCACCCTTGATAAGGTGGTTTAATTCCAGCCTTGTTCACTTGTTTACCAGCAGCTTTTGGAAACTCCCTCTGGTGCAACTTCATCAGCAGAAGCACACATGCAGACATATTGCTGACACATCTTCTTTTTAGCTGACACTGGGAGCTGGGAGTCCCTCTGTGCTCAGGGAGCTGCTGGGAGGTGACAAGTCAGCCATCTCACTGATTTCTCACACCACTTACCTGAGAGGCCCTTGGGGCAGTTTTGCAGAACACAGAGCATCAGGTGGGGACATTCAGTGGGATTTTACAGGCTCCTCTATGCTCCAGGCAGGTGTAACCATGATATAGCACAAGTCCCCTCTTAGTACATTTACTTTTGTTACAATATACCCACCAGAGAGGAACCACAGTGAACCAATGCATTCCAAGGGGAATGTCAGCTGAACAAACTTGGATTCAGAAAGAAAAGATTAAATCAAATAACAATCCCTCATTTCTTGATTAATCATTTTGATTTGTCTATAGTATGGAGCTATTTTCACCAGTGTAAGAATGCATTATTTTTAATACAGACTATTTAAATTAAAAATTATGTAGGTAGTTCTATAAATGTAGTGGGACCTGTCAGGGTGTATTTTGTTGTATTAGGCTAGTCAAGTTTTTTTGCTGTCTGATTGTAGTGCTCTGTATGCAACCTTATGCCTCAATTGTTTTGAGCTGCTTTTGCACAACACCTGCTCTGCCCTGTCTTAATGGGTGATTAGTGCAAGCCAGGTACTTTCACAGAATTTACTTGGGAAAAAAAGCTTCAGAAGTAACACATGAACATATGCTAAAGGAAAAAGAAAAGCTTTGATTCCAAAATATGTATCATGCTTTGGCACCTGTTATTCATGAGTATAAAATAAAACAATTATTACTTACAGTGATTACTCTCTTACTGTATGCAAACCCAGGAGCTAAGTTCTCTAGGCATTGTATGGATTTCTCGTTTGAGTTTGTGAGTTTTCCCCAAACTTTGTTTTTATTTAGAAATGTTTCTATTTCCCCATTTTTCTTTTATTTGTCTTCTTCACCCTCTACACCCTAGTTCTAGCTTCAGTTTTACCCAAAGTTGATTTGAATTACACCAGATTGCAGCAAGCAGAGAAGGCTCAAATGGAGGCAGAGGCTGAGGATGAGAAACTTAAGCAGGAATATGTGAATAAATCTGAAAGCCTGCAGAACGAATTCTCCCAGAAGGAGAAACAGCTGTGAGTATTTCTTTCCTGTTTGGAAAAAGGCATGGCAGTAAACATTTTACATTTGCAATATGTCCTCTGTCCTAATGCAGGCTGCTTGTTGTTAAATGGTTTTGAACAGAATGCAAATACTAAAGATCTTCGTGTCAGGTACTGGCAAGGCAGAAGAAAATGTGTCATTCCAAGGAAGCCAAGCTGGCTTTGGGTGCTTCTAAAATGACATACAGCTTGAAAGGAAGGGGAAAACCAGCATTATTTCTTGGCTAAAAGTGCCAACTTAATTCAGGAGGAAATTATCCTAAGTGGGGGAAAATATGTAGTGGAGTAGTGGTAAAACACACTTGGAACAAAGCCCACAAGTATGGAGTAGTGTAGACTTAACCAGAAATGGCACAGTAATAGTTTGATTGATGCAGCTTAAGGATGAGGTAGAAGTGGTTTAACTACTACTGCACAGGAAATAAAAAGTGAAAATCCAGTAGAGTCATAAAAGTTAAAAGCTAATTTAAAAGCCACCCCTCTGTCTTTCTCCTGTTACATCCTTCAGTACTAATTTAAATCAGTACATAATGTTAGAAGATCCGTGTAAGGACAGGCGCTTTCTCTCTTTGGGAAGATAAAGCATCAGTTATTGAAAGAAATCTTTGGCACAAAGATTGGGGCTTAAAAATGAGTGATTTCCAATCCAGTTAGTAGCCCTCCCCTGCCTCTCTCAGAACTCTGACTTTCAATCCACTTGTTCAACTGTCATGACAAATGTTCACTTTACTACCACAGTCACCTCTGCAGATTTGGGCAAAAGAACAGTTCAGACCCCAGCCTTAGAATTCTGCAGTTCTGAAACCTCCAGGTCATGTTCACTTCTTTTCCAGCCAGATGCTGAGGTAGTGTCCCAAAATGTAAGTCTTTCCTTTAAAAGTGGGTTTGGTTTTAAAACAGGAAAATTAACGTGGATGTAGGTTTCCCATCAAAAGACCTTGCATGAATACTCTCAGATTTTTTTTCCTCTTTTCCTGTGTTGGCACTGTTTAGATCTAGAAGGTTGAACAGTGTGCGTCTACCCCATAACATTCTAAACACCAAGTCTTCCATAAAACCAATAGTAAAATTCCAGCCAGAATGGGTCTTCTGTCAGAGTAGCCCTAATTCCTTTAGCTGAAGTTCAGTTAAGCCAGTAGAATCTGTATCCCTGTTTATGCTGAACCTCAGCTGTGTAGAATGCTCAATAAAAATAGTAATTTAAAGTCCTTCCTCCTTTATTTTCAGTTCTGTTCAAAATGCCATAAACTTTAGTCTAAAATAGGGTGTAAAATTAAATAACTTTTATGGTATCAGGGATACCTGCAGTGATTGTCTGCATCACCAATGACTCTGTGGCTGGTTGATTTGGTTTATTTTAGAAACAAGCTGTATAAAGTTAAGGGGCTTTGCCTTATGCTTGTTTTAAAAATACTTCAGAATTTTGTGGTTTAGTCTTATTCATTTATTTCAAAGGTCACCTCTTCAAGATTGTGCCATACTCCTGGTCCTTTAAATAAACTTAATTTGAAAAGCATTTTCTAAATGACAGTAGTTTATTACTCTGATACCTAAAATGTCATTGTATTGACACATTATTTCTGTTTTAGAAAACATGTAAGTTAATAGTTTGTTGTGGTAATAGTCTGTTGCACCCAGAAATAAGCTCAGTTTTGTTTTCAGAAGTGTTACTGCTGTGCACAGTGATTTTTGTTGTTTTCCCTGTTCTAGGCTTCAGCTGGAAACAGATTTGAAGATAGAAAAAGAGTGGCGGCAAACCCTGGAGGATGATCTTCAGAAGGAAAAGGAGACTGTATCTCATCTGAGAACAGAGACCCAAGAAATAGTTACCCTTAAGAAAGTAAATTCTGCAGCAAATTTTGACTAGTAATTTAGAAATGGACTGCAATGTTATTTATGGACTTAGACATGGTATCTTAAAGAATTTCTGCAAATATATGAGAAAGATTATGTTAATGTGATCTCACAAATAGAATGAGGAGAAAAATGGGCTTTTTATTCCCAATTTAGTCCTCAGATCAGAACTCAGTACTTTGGATAAGGGGAAATGAAATCCTTGCTTTCCCTTCTCAGTTCTGTTGGGGGCTGGACCTGTGGCTCTCTGTGCTCCTGGACTCTCCAGTCACCCAGGTTTATTTTCCAGGTTTTATCTCCAGTCACTCAGTTTATTTTCCAGGTTTCATCTCCAGTCACTCAGGTTTGTTTTCTCCCTGCAGTGGGCTACAGAAGCAGAAATGTTTCTTTATCTCTTGGGGTCTGAGGGAATTTACTCCTGAGCAGCTGCTGTTCAGGCTATATTTGGAGGGAGTGTGAGGGATCACTCAGGCACTTGGCTTTCTCAGCAAGCTTCAGTAGGAGCAGCTTCCTAGGCAGTAGGGCAAGCACAATTTGAGAATAATTTGGCTTCATTTTATTTTGTTTGTTTTGTTTGAAGGAGTTCCTTAAACTTCAGGAGAAGAACAAGCAGCTGAAAAGCATATGTGAGGACCAAGAAGCTGCTCTCCAAGAACTGGCATCCAAGCTGAGCGAGTAATTTTATTATTCATGATGACTTATACATATTATTTTGTCATCTACACTTGAATTAAGGAAAATAGTGGGACAGTGGCAACGCATATTAGACCGTATATGGCAATATTATTATTATTTTGGTAACTAACCAGTTGTGAGGAGTCAATGTGTCTAGTTATGTCAGGCCTGGTAATTTTTACTTTTGGCTGGTGGGGTGGCTGTGAGCTCCTGGGTAATGACAGTACTTTGAACAGAAAATCCAAAAGAAAACAGTTTGAACAAAAACAGTCTGAAGGGCATTAGGCTTTGTTCTGCAGGGGAACAGTTGCCTGGTTTGCCAGCTCTGGCATTCCCAAGGAGCCCCAAGGAGAAGGTGTCAGCTCTGGCTGCAGCAGGGCAGTGCTGCTCTTCTTGAGCCCCAGCCAGACACCAAGCCCCACACAGCTGCTCACTCACTTCCCCACCACTGGGATCAGGCAGAGAGCTGGAAAAGCAGAATCTGGAAAACACATTAAAGATTGAGATAAAGGCAGTTTACTAGAGAAAAGAAAAGCCACACATGCAAGCAAAGCAAAACAAGGAATTAATTCACAGCTTCCCATGGCTGGGCAGGTGTTCAACAGCCCCCAGGAGATCAGGGCCCGTCATGTGCCTGGGGAAGGCAAAATTCCATCACTCTGAATGTCCTCCTTCCTTCTTTCCCCCACTTTATATACTGAGTGTCATGCCACTGGTGTGGAATATCCCCTGGGGTCCCCTGTCCTGGCTGTCCCCTCACTCCCCATCAGCCCCAGACTCCTCCCCAGCCTGGCCCTGGGGGGAGCAGGAAAGGCCTTGGCTCTGTGTGAGCCCTGCTCAGCAACAACAGCACAACATCCCTGTGTTATCAGCCTGAGCTCAGCACAAACCCAGAGCACAGCCTGGGAGGGAGAGGAACCCCCCCAGGCAGAGCCAGCCCAGCTCTGAGGGTGGATGGAAGGGGACACCTGGCAAGCAGCACCCTCCTTTCTGCTGCATGGTGGGGAAGCTTCATTTAATGATCTCTGTCTTCTCAGTAGCCTGCTGTGATTTATGTGGCCTTTGATGCCCTGTAGAATAGCTCTGTGTGTGTCTCCTGTGACCCAGTTCTCAGTGGGGTGGCACTGGATGGTTGTGGGGAGGCTGCTTCCTCCAAAATGACATCATGTGGTCTTGTACTCTTCTTCAGAGGACTTGCCTTAAAATTTAAGTACCTAAACCAGCTTTTTAAGCTGCTAGAGCATAACTGAACCATATGGAAGTTTGAAGTAGCATTATCTTATTTCTTAGATCAAAGCTGAAAATAGAAGATATAAAAGAAGCAAACAAGGCATTGCAGGTCAGTAGCATTTTGAGAAAACAAAATTTTTTTAAACTGTTCTTTTTGAAATCTTTCATAAGCATGAGAAGACTTCTCTCCAACAGCAACTACTCCAGAGAGACTCACTGTATGATTTCCTCCAGTGGGAGAGAACCACACTCCCTTGTAACTTCCTGGAAAAAATGCATTTGCTTTGATTTTCCTTGTTTGATGCACAGCTGTGCATTTTGGCCCTTTTCTTGCAATGACACACACTCTTCTATCATTTACAGAGTGAATCTGGGACAGAATGTGAAGCCAGCTGAGCTTGAACTGCATAGTACTTCTCAGTGATCAATAAATATTTGATCATCCTAAGAAATAAGTGAACTTGTAGCATCAAAGCTGATAAAATGTGATGTGTAATGTCAGCAGGTTTGGGACTTTCTCAAAGACAGCAGAGTGCACTTGAGAGCAGAGATTCTGTGCACATCTGGTGATCAAAGGTGTGCAGACCTTTGTACAGACCCTGTGTCACCTGGCATACTGCTGCAGTCCAGGTCAAAGTGACTGGAGTAGTTGAGCAGACTTCTGGGTTTATTAAGTGGTTTAAACAAAAGGAAGTTGACAGTTCTTGACACTGTCCTGGGGTTTTTTTTTTGCTTCCCTGCATCTTGAGGACTGTTCCTATGTGATAGACAGGGACATTGGCTTCACTTGGAGGCTTGGATTCTTTCTGCTCTCCCAGCTGAGCCACTGCCCAGCTTTGGCACCTCAGGCATGTTCTCTCTGCACCTTTGCTCTGTCTTGTCCCCCGAGGTTTTGCAGTACTTTGGAACAGTCCTGTGCTGCTCTAGAGTGTCTTTGTGACATGACCCTGGTCCCAGGGCACTGAGCATTCAGGCAGGGAATGTTCTGCTCTTGATTTGTCTTGTCCCCTGGAGCCCACAGTTTAACTTCATCAGATACATACAATTATGATAATTTTTTCTCCAGGGCCAGGTTTGGTTGAAGGACAAAGAAGCCACTCATTGCAAGCTGTGTGAAAAGGAATTTTCACTTTCCAAAAGGAAGGTAAAACTTTAACAAAATTTCTCCCAATGTGTTTACAAGTATTATGTAATTATTATTACAAGTATGATGTAGATAATAATTATCTTTGAGATGTGGCATGAAATGTCAATGATCAGGTGCAAGCAGAGGTATTTTTGAGATATTTTTCTAATTCTTTGATACATACAATGCAGCTGGGCCCTGATTTCAAAAGATACAATGTCATAGGGAAGTTCCACAGAGCAACTTAGTTAAAAATTATTTAACTACTTTGTGGAATTGTTATCTCAAACTCTTATCAGCTCTGGCACACTTAGAATTTGACATGTGTAGAAGTCTTTATGGCATTTTTTTATATACTAGAGTAAGAAAATATGAGTTTGTAATTTTAAAGTAAAATGTGACATTAATTTCCATGCTTTATTAATGTGTGCAGGAAGTTTCCTTTACCTTTTTGTGTTAAATCTCAATTAGGTACCTGACAGAGGCATCCACTGTTTCAGATGTCATTGGTCATGCTGCATTTTTCTACAGCAGAATACATCCTTAATCCAGAGTTTGAATGAAATCTTCAGCACATATATGTGTGTATATATAAAAAAGTCTAGAAAGACCTTGTGTCTGTCTGTGGTGCAATCCTAGACAAACACCATTTGTGTAGGATTGCATCACAGTTTGGGATGTAGATCAATTACCTTTTGCAGACTGACTCAAAGGAGGAGTCAGGAATTACATTTTGGATTGTGCTGTGTGTATTGATTGTTGGTATCCAATTACCAAGTACATTTCCATTGTAAATTTCAGTTTTTACTCTTCTGCCTGTGATTTAGCATCACTGTAGGAACTGTGGGGAGATCTTCTGCAATGCCTGTTCTGACAATGAGCTGCCTCTGCCCTCTTCACCAAAGCCAGTCCGGGTCTGTGATTCCTGCCATGCAATACTGATACAGAGGTGCTCTTCTAACGTGCCATAAGATATTTATCCATTCTGCTGTTTAGCTCATCCTGTCAAAACCACCACACCAACTAAAGAATGTGCCACAGTATTTCCAGACTTTGAGGTAAGCAGTGTGGAGTTGCCATTTCAAGGTACTGAGGATGAGTTACTTCTCTGCTTCCTCTTGAAACAAAAGGAGACAATGGGACAAATGTAGAAAATGTACATCTAAAAAGAAAAGAACCCCGGAAGGTATGTTGGTCTACCAAATGGCTTAGCAGTTTTTTGGGAGGAAGCAGGGCAGTTTATACAGGAGATTCAGTGTTAATGTGTATTGGATGAATATTTCAGTTGTTAAGATGATCTGGAGAAAGGTGATACTCTCACATGCTGATGTGCCACAAGTCCAACCTAATCCAGTGCCTGTGCTAGGCTGTTGTGAAGCAAAACCATGCAATAGCTGGTTTTAAATTTTACTGGAAGAAAGTATGGCAATTAGTGCAGTGGTCTGAGAAGTTGTTGCCAAATGTGTGCCCGTTTGCTTCTCTGCAGTAGCAGGGTTTGGTGCATCCCTGCCCTGGCAGCTCCTCTGTGCAGCCCCGGCTGTGAGGGGAGCTGTGCTCAGCCCGGGAACAAACAGTGCCTCGGGGCACTTCCTGAAGGAAGGTGTGTTTTGCTGAATGATTTTTCACGTGAACTATTAATTTGATGTATCTGTGTTTCACTGTTCAGCACAGACCTCTTCTCTGACATTGTCTGTAACCTTGAACAAGTCTCTGTATCATTTTCATGCAAGTCATGCTCACAAGCTTGTACGTGTAGCCACTGCATAGCTCTAGAAACCACCTAGAAAGACTGGGAATAAATGCTGGGGATCACATCCTTGCTGTGCTGCACAGGGAGGTTCTTCCTTATTTTGTCACCATCTTTCTCAAACCTTCAGAGCTGGTTCCTAAACTTCATTTTTTTGCAGAGCACTTTTGAGCCCTTGTGAATCTACCCACTCTTGTCACTGACAGTAACTTCTGTTGGAATGCAAGATCCTTGTTCTTTCCATAGGCAAATAGAAATAATATCCTTTGACAAACTGCCCTCACTTGCAGCTCACTGCACTGCACTGCACTCTCCTCCCCTTTAGCCCCTCCTGGCCTGGGCTCCAGCCCTGGACCCTCCACACTCCAGGATTACCAGCCCTGTAGTTCCTTCAGCCGTGGGCTTGGAGTAGCACTGCTGGCAGCAAAAGGGAGGCTGCAAACAGGTCTTTCAGCTGTCCTTGCACTTTGTTTAGCTTGGCTTTGGCTCTGAGGATAGGATTTAGTGATATCCTAAAAGCTAACGTAGCTGTTCTTTTTAACACCTCAATGTAGTAGCTTTTGTAAAGAAAAATGTTTTTAAAATGACCTTATGTAACTTTTTGTAAAATACAACACAAATACTTGTAAATCTGTAAATAAGTTTTGGAAAAAAATAAATTTAAGTTATCTGAGAATAATGTCACTTACTCTGAATTGCAAATTTAAATTATTTTACTTTATTGTGTTCAAGTTGCTTAGAAAGCCTTTGCCTGTGCTGGGGAGTGGGGTACCCTGCCAAAGACACAGTCAGGTGCTGCTCATGTGTTTCCTGAGGGTGTTTCCAGGTGGGCTTTTGTGGGGCAGGCATGGAGGCAGCAGGGTTTGATGCAGGATAGAGGTGGTAGGATAAAGCTAATCTGTATTGCTTTAATAAATAACTTGTGAAAAGGGATGCAACTAAACAGAAATAATTTAAAATAGGCAATCTTTTAAAACAAGATTACAGTGCCTTTCCGTAATGTGCAATGAATTAATTTGTTACTTAACTGCCATCTTTTCCTCCCCTCTGCTGTCCTGTTTGCCTAGGAAAAGTGTAATATTCAGATTGCTGTTACTGACTGCAGGTAAGACTTCTGCCTTGAACAAAATGAATGCTGGATGTTCCATATGGTTTAATTTCCCTTGGCATCAAACTATATACCTGGCCTGCTTTTAAGGTTTTTGGACACTGCTGTGACTAATGCTGCACTTCTGGCCTTCTGTAAAAACCCTGCTCAATTCTAAATCCTTCTCGCACAAAGAAGAGCACAGGAAGAGCCGTGGGGTACCCACAGGAACCTGGAACTGTCAGACAGGACCAGAGCAGCATTTTATTCCTTTTGGGGAATGAAGCCACTTCTGCCTTGCTGCTCTGGGGGCGTTCACCAGCCCCCAGTGTCGATGCCGTGTTGCTCGTGCTCCTCCCGGCGCAGGGCTCCGCCAGGTCCGTGCCGTGTTTGCTCCGGAGCCCGGGGCCCGGCGCTGCCCGGCAGGAGCAGGGCCGGGAACCTGCCCCGGCCTGCGGGAGCTCCTGTGGGAGCGGGCACGGGAACGGCTCCCGTGCCGGTCGAGGCTGCTGCTGGTAGCTGAGGGCCGGAGCTGAGCGCTGTCGCTGCGGCTGAAGGGACGGGCAGGCACAAGGGACTCGTGTCCCGCACAGCGTGTGCTGGCTGGGGCTGCAGTGAGCAGGCTGCAGCTTGCCCAAAGCACAGCCCCAGCCTCCCCAAAGGCCAGGGCAGCTCCAGGATGGAGCCCCAGCTGTTCCCAGGCGAGGAGGCGCTGCCGAGCCGCAGGATTTCGCTCTGCCGTGCCCGCGCTAACAGACTGCTGCAAGCGACCTTTCCTCCACCTCACTCTAAGGTACTTCTGCAACTGAATTAACTCTGGTGCTACCACTGCCACTCGGGAAACACCTCAGCTTCGCTGGCAAGACAAAGAGCCCCCTAGTTCTGCAGAGCACAATGGTTCAAATGGTCAAGAACTCCTTTTCCCTCCCCTTCCTAGCCAATACTACCCCCGTGCTTGGAAAGTGTCCTGTGCCAGTTACCCTTTTCAGCTCTTCCACGCCCTTTGACACCCGGACACAGCCTCTGGTGAAATAAACTCCATTCTCCTCTCTCCCACAAGAAGACATTTATTACAGATATAACACAGTACTAGCAAAACAGGTGACAGACTTGCAATACCCAAGATCACATTTGACATTTTAAGGGAGGCATTGAGGACAAAGCAGTTAATTTGGGAGATCACACTGGCTCAGAAGAATAAATACCTTTTTCCATTAACACATCAGGTATGTTAAGTGTCTTCAAACAGTAAGTTTCTTACATATCTTACATGTCACAAATGCACAAAGTTTTATCAGCGTGTTTGGGTTGTGTGTTCCTGAAGAAGTATTGGGCCTATAGATATTTTAGAGATCTTGGCTTCTAATGAGCTCCTATGTAGAATGGCTTGGCAAACTTTGAACAAATACAGACAAATCAGCTCTGTGCAGTGAAAGAAAATGCTGAACCATGTTTAAATACAATAAATTCAAGAAAGAAAAGAAGTAACTTGCTTCCAAATCCCCCACTCTTCCTAAAAGCGTGTTTGTGAAAACAATACTAAGTAAAAAGCATCAAATGAACTAGTACTTGACCTATGCTAGCTAAAAGCTGTGCTCGTGTTTCAGTCAGACTTGCAGGTCCCCTGTGTGAAATGCAGGCTCCAACCACTCCAGCAAGGTGGAAATAAACGTGGCTGCAGGGTGTTGTGGAGGCAGACGGGGGTGCTGCTTCTTTACAGCAGCTGTGCATTTGCTGGGGATGCTGGCAGCAGGAGGAACAACGACTGAGCCTCCACAGCTTTCTGCTGCACTGCAGTTACTACATACAACTTAGCAAAAGGATTTAGGAAAGTAATTACCAAATCAACTATCTACTCATCTACCCTTCTCCCCTTAAACAAGTTAATGTTTAAATTTGCTCACTAGACCAGGATTACATAGAACTGAATCAGTGTTCATAGGAGTTACAGTACAACCACCTTTATGGAACCATAGTACAACATTTTAAACCGACTGTAGTCTTGAATATGTAATACATCCTTAGGAGTAACTAGTATAAAAAGTATCAACATCAGTGGTTTGAATATAAAAATTTATTTAAAGTCAGAGTATGCAACAAATAAAACCTACAGAAAACAGATTTTCCCATCACAATCTGTTGCTTACCAAATAATATTGTGAAAACACATTCCTTCAGTCATTATAAAGTTCTTAAAATACAAAAGAAATTAAATTTTGTAAGAAAGTCTAGTAGACCAGAGACTGTTTCTTCCAAGATGTTCTGCAGAAGCAAGGCTATCCTTCAATACATCCCACGCCATCCTCCTCCACCCATGCTGCCTTGCCCATAGTATCCTCCACTATTTCCACTGCCACGACCTGCAAACAATTGACAAGGTCACGCATACATACCTTAAAAAAAGAAAAAATGGGACGGGTGATACAGAACAATGGCTGAAGGTGACAACTCACACTAACAACACTCCAGCACCACTGCTCTTAACCAGTGTTTGCTGCAGTGGCACAATGTACAAAGCCCCCAGAGATGGAGTTTCAGAAGAGCAGTGCCACTCTGTCCATTCTCCCAGCCCAGTGCCCCCCATCAAAGACAGTCATTCACACACTCCCCCAGACACGTGAAAGAGAACTTGTACTTACTGTATCCCCCCAAGCCATCAGGAGTTCCGTATCCACCGCTGTAATTGCTACCCATTCCCATTCTACCAACAGAGCCGTAACCTTGATCTGCAAAACCAAAAGTGCAACATTACAAGCTTGGGACTCACTAGTCTTGGCAAAGTATCAACTAAATGTGCAATTGATGCGTACCCATTCCATCTCTGCCATAGCCTCCCATTCCAGAGCCACCTCCAGCAGTAGAATTCAGGAACAGTTCAATATACCGATGCTCTGTAAGAAGCAAAAAGCCTCAGTTTGTATTTTGTTTTCCACACCAGGAGCAGAAGTACAAAGCAACCCCCCACGGCCCTTAAAGGCAGCAGACAAAAGGCCACAAACGTGGGAAATTGTGACCACCTCAGGATGGAGCTGCTGCTCCCAGCCCTGCTAGCGCCTGGCCGAGCGGCAGTCAGGAACACGACACTCACGCATGTGGTTCTTATCCTTGGACATGGCAGCCACTGCATCCTCGTGAGTTACAAACTCCACATCTGCCTCTCCTGTAGCTCTTCCATCTGCTCCAATATCAATGTGAACTCTTATAGGGTTCAGTGGTGAGAAAAACTAGGGGAAAAACAAATTAAAAACCAATCATGTTTAATGCAGAATTCAAGCCAGGTACTTTTTTTCCATTTCCATGGTTAGTGGTGCACTACTTTAATTCCACATCACCCTACCACACAGATTTAACTACTCATTTCTCAAGCAGTACTTAGTGGTTGCGGGACATTAACATCAGGTCAACCTATTGTTACTACAGAGCTTGCAGAGCTGCAGCTACAGAGCCTGAGGAGCTTTCTTTGAATGCAAAGCTACAAACAACTCCTGCCCACACACACTGCTCTGAGCAACAGTTAACTGCAATGGCATCCTGGACAAGAAAATAATCAGTTGGTTTTCATTTGGCTCTGCTTTTCCAGATTCCTCAAAGCAAGGATGCATTCACAGAATTCAAGAGAAGCTGCCTGTCAATCATGCTGCTCTTCCTGACTGCCCCAGATCTAAGCCTGACTTTTGGCTCTTGTCACAGAGTCTTTACTCTAAATGGAACACTCAAACTGGCATACACCTCCACTTAAGCAAACCAACCCTCCCACAAAAGCAAACAAGCAAAAGATTAAGAATGGAGCTCTGCATATGTAACACATAGGTGCCACTGGCAAAGCCTCTCTCCAGTGATGTGCTATGTTTGAACCAGGCCTCGTATTCCAAGAAAACCTTTTTCCCAACAACACCACATCTGCACTGACACAAGAATGCATTCCCAAGATCCTGCAGATGCACCTCTACCTGCCACCCTTATCTCTTCGGAGAGGGATACAGTCCTCTCCAAGCCAACACAGCCTGCCCACCCTGCCCCTCCTGAAACACTCTCAGGACAACAAACAAATATGCAAACTAAGGCAATATAAGTTTCACACCTTCTGTCATTTTCATAAAATCAGGTAAGCTTAAAAAAATCCTAAAGGCCTTAAAATGAAGATACTGATTACAGCAACTGTTGTCTCTGCAATACACCTTTTATGGAAACAAAAGAGCAGAGAGTGCAGGGATTAATGTTAAATATAGCTTTGCTGACTGCTCTGGTAATCCCACCTCAGATGGCAGCTTTAGAAAAGCTCGTTAACTTTGTGCAGACGTAGCAGTGACTGGTTTGAGAAGGCTCCCCGAGTTTGGACTGGGACAGATAGGACATGCACACTGCTGGCAGGAGGAAGCCCTTTCCCCGTGGTACTTACGTTAGCAATATCGTTTTCCGTGGCTCGGAAAGGCAGCCCTCTCATGTGAACAAAATGACCGCCACCATGGAACCCCGACCCTGCATCTCCAGCTCCATAGCCATGTCCTCCCATGCCTATTGGAAAACCCAAACCAAAAAAACCCACACACCTCTAAGATCATGAAAAGCCAAAAGTCATCACTACTCTTTTTCTGAAAGCACTTAATTATACCAGTGAATGCATGGTGTTTCTACTTCCCATGTATCAACCCAAACCAGCAGCCCTGCTAAGCAATCTATGTACCTTTTCTTATGATTCCCCAATCCCCTCCCCTTTTCAAACAGCCTTCTTTACCAAACAGCAGAATGAAGCTGTTATCTCTGTCTTGGGAATAGTGTGTCTTGCAACTCAAGTATCAGGACAACCTTTTTGGATAAACTGAATTTCTTTTACCTCTCCCATCCCTCATTCTGTCGTCATAGCCGTCGTTTCCGTAGCCATAGTTATTATAGCCACCATAATCATCAAAGCCACCATATCCTGTGCAGTGGAGAGAAGGAAAGGAGCCATTACATTCCTGCTCAGAACTCGCACAGCAGTCACACACAACACTCAACTCTGCAAACAGCCTCTGCAGACTGTCAAACCTGGATTTCTGAACATGGTGCAAAAGTACATTTCTTTTTATGTAACACAGACTGAAACATGCAAATGGAAAGATCTGATTCTAATGAAAATAACTCCCTTATTATTAGTGTTCATCTTAAATACTCAGCCACGTGTTTTGATGTATTACAAGTTTTTTTCAGATAAATACATCCAACCTAAGGGGCATTACAGCTACCACCATTTCTCATTTCTTGACAAGTATGTCAGAAACACGAAACTGCCAAGAGAACCTGTGTTCATTAGATGAACATACCACCGTCATATCCACCACCTCCTCGACGCATTCTGTCATACATACTTCCACGCCCAGCTCCATAATAACCCCCTCTTCCTCCTAATGGTCTATCATATGGTCCAGGTCGCTGTTGTCCCATCATTCTTCTTGGCATGTCAGAGAATCCTCTGATTTCGCTCTTACTACTTTTGAAGATTTCAATGTATCTAATAAAAGAGGATTTTCAAGGTACCAGTAAGAACACAGGCAGAAGCAGTCTGAATTGTACAAAAGGCCATACTACGTTTCTAGAGCTAAACAAGCCAATAGCAGTGACTAGAAATACCATACAACTTAAGCTTCTCCTCAAAACTGTAAGAATCTTAAGTGTATTAAAAAAAGCCCACTTTAGAGTGGCAAAAATTACTATGTGAAAATTCTAGCTGCACAAATTAAGCTTAAAACGTATCTTTCCAGTATGAGAAACATACTGTTGAAAAACAATGGCTATAGCAGCATTTATAACAAATTACCCTACACGAGCATGATTGAAACAGTTTTCTGAGTTTAGCAAACTACCCAGTGCAATACTGTCTCCCCCACCCCCCAAATCTACTGTATTTGCCAAGTTAACTTAGGATCAGTTATAAAAATTCTTAAAAACAGCCAATTCCCCAATGGTCCCCAACCCCCCAAAAGCATTACTGACCCACAACCCCCAAAAAATAAAGATTTAACACCATCCCAAACTCTCCATCCCCACCTGTGCCCTATTCTTTCCTTGTGTTTCCCCAGAGCATTTTCTGCTATCTCCTTTGAAGCAAACTGCACGAAGGCCTCCCCTGTGCTTCTCCCCTGGTAGTCCAGCGTCAATGTTATCCCATTTGGCACGATTTCCAACCCTTTAACCCAAGGACAAATAACCCCGTCAAGGGGAACAGTGTTAAAGGCTGAAACATTCCCATCTGCAGCAAATACTTAAAGCATATCTAAACAACAACAACGAAAAAGAAAACCACCTTGTTTCCCCCATCACCCAACAATACAAGCCCATGATCTTTTCATTAAACATTTACTGATTTAGCCGTACTTCTTTTCTGTTTAGACTATACAAAAATGCAACCCCCTAAGTTACATGAAGAAAATAGAGCTACCAATCAAGCAATTTAACTGATCCAAATGCTAACATTCAGGTTACCCCCATATGCAAGGCATGTTTCCCACCTCGACAAAATCAGGTACATTTTGTGTTCTACTATAGCTATAGTTATCTGTGCTCCATTTACAGGGCATAAATCTTAATTAAGATAAGTCAATTAACACAATCCCTCCCCATCCACCCCATTAACAGCTATTAAACACGTACAAAACACTGTGCAAAAGATACAAAAAGCCTCTAAAGAAACCCACTACACTTCGACTATACTGGAGGTACCTTGGAAAAACTGCACAATCTCTTCTTTGCTGCAACCAAAAGGCAGGCCTCGGAGTCGTACCACCGTTCCGTCATTGGTTGTATCATTAGGCCCATTGTGTTTTCCACTCCAGTCCATTTTTGCTTAATTTAAATCCTAAAAAAACCCAACAAAACAGAAATAAAAAAAAACCTCCGAGTTTCTGTCCATGCCCCAAAAAATAAGTCTGTTAAGATTTTATTTAGATGACATGATGGATCATGAGCTGTATTTCTGTTCTGGATTTGAAGCTAGGCACCTGAGCACATGCCAGGGGACATCAACCCGCCACGGGGCTGCTGCAGGGAGCACCGCGTGGTCGGCGGGCAGCACGTGGGCAGGCTCGGCATTCACTCCGAGCACCTTCCACATCCGCTCCCTAACGCTTTGTGGGGTTGGTTTTTTTCGTTGTGTTTTTTTTTTTTTCCCTTGAAGCGTCAGAGCTGCGGAAGGGGCCGGTGCCACAAGGCCTTCCTTTGTCTGCCCCCAGCCGAGGGCGGCGGGGCCGCGTGCGAGCCACCGGGGCGTGTGCGGGGGGCACAAAGGGAGCCGCCGCCACCGCCTCCTCAGGCGCGGAGGAGCCATCGCGAGCCCGCCTCCCGCCGCCCTCCCCGGACCGCGGCCCTGACCCCCGCCTGCTCCCCGCCGCCATTTACCGCGCCTCCCCGGGGCGCCCGCCGCCCGCCCGCCCCGCTCGCCCTCTGCGCTCACCGCGAGTCCCTCGCGCACCCCTGGCCGTGCCCCGGCAGCCTCCCTGGCCGGGCAGGACGCGCCTCCTCGCTCGCTGCCGAGCCGTCCGGCGGGCCCTCACCTGCGCAGCGCCCACGGGCAGCGGAGCGTCCGGGCCGCGCGACTATCGCGATACCCGCGCCGCGCGCCGCCTCACACCCGCCTGGGCGGCTCCCGCGCACGCGCGACTCGCGCGGGGAGCGCGGTGAAAGGGAGCGACTGCGCATGCGCATCGGGGGGGGCGTTCCGCTCGTGCCTCTCGCCGCCTCCCCTGCTGAGGGGCCGCCCGGGCGCGTGCGCGCTCCGGCCTCGCTCACGCGGCCGCCGCCGCTGGTTTTGGCGCCAAGCGGGAGCGCGCGCGGCCCGCAGCGCGGGTACCCGCTCACGCGGCCGCCGCCGCTGGTTTTGGCGCCAAGCGGGAGCGCGCGCGGCCCGCAGCGCGGCTGGGGCGCGCTCCCGCCCGGGATCGCCTCACGGCCGCGCTGGCGGCGGCTCCGGCCGGGCGGGCTCTGGAGCTTGTGTCTCTCTCAGCGCGCCCCTCTCCCGCGGCGCAGCTGCTGGAGGGAGCGGGGATGAGGAAGGCTGCCCGGTGTGGGCGCACGCGATGGCTGCTGCCCGCGTCTCCTCAGCAAAGCTGCGGAGCACACCCGGCCGGGCGTCGCGGTGAAAGGGCGCGCTGAGGCGCTCGGGGGCTGGGGGCGAGGGAGGTTAAAACGCGTGTTTTAACTAAAAAAAAAAAAAAAAAAATTAAAAAAAAATCCCTCCGGGGCGTAGTAAGGAGTGTCAGTGCTGTCGGCGGTAGGAAGTGACGGGCTGTGCCGCTGGCTCCGCCTGCCGTCAGCGAGGCGGGAGCGCGGGGCCGCGCTGCCCGTGCGGGGGAAGCCGCTTAGGGAGCCCTGGCGGGGCCCGAGCAGGTGCGCACGGCAATGCAGGTCCCAATCTTTACGGTTGATGCATTTACAAACCGGCCGTTTTCTGGAAATCCTGCGGCTGTTTGTCTGCTTGAGAATGTAAGTTAAAACCCTGCAGCACCTCAGAAACTGGTTTTTGAGGTACTGCAATGACTTTTGCCGTTCTGTGCTTGGACTGAGCACTCAGCACTGCATTAGACTTTGCTTTCTTTACTCGAGACTTCTGTTTTCCAGACTTGTTTGCTGTGGCACAAGAATACAGAGAAATTAGCACAGCGGTGCTCTTTTTTCTTATTTTTTTTCCCCTTCATCAAACCGATGTCATACAAGACAACGTTGGAATATTTTGTGGGCTGTTAAAAATATTTTATTAAGGAACAGACTGGATTTATTTTGAGTTAAGAAAAATGGCTTAATTTCTTCAAGAACAGTTCAGAATAAGAGTTCTGAAGAGTTAAGAAGGATTCAGAATGAACTCTGAAAAGTACTGTTGTAAAACTGAATCAGTGATCAGTAGAAGGATTAAACTGTGGGGTTTGATTTTGGTGTGGGTTTTCTCCCTTTTTTTCCTTGAATTTTTGCTCTTTCTCGGGACAGAAAAAGAGTAGGTACAGACCTCAACGTGAATCTTTGATCATTAGTGTGTTGGGTTCAGCTTTAGCCAAGTTTATGCAGCCGGTTTTTAGTGCTTCAATGTTGCACGGTAGTTTTGGTGCAGTTGACAGTAGTTATCCTCCTCATCAGGGTGTTCTGAACAGCTGGTACTAATTGGTACCAATTCCTAACAAAAATAATTATTAAGATGGATTAGAAATTTACAGGCCTTGTATTGTTTGTATACTAACTCCTGATAAAAATTGTAAATATGAAAATATATGTAGCCAGTGGCAACAGCTTGTAATGCCAATATGAATCCTTTCTAGAGGTTCCTAGGTCCAAATCTCACATAGTATTGCCTACTTATCAGGTCAGCCAAAGGTATGACTGGGAACATCTCCCTTCAGATTTATGTTTGGCCACATAAAATCTAAATACTCTCAAAGTGATATCTGCATTAAAATTATGAGCTTCTAATTGCATTTTTAATATTACTTTTACTTTATTACATCAAGGTACTGTGAAACCACCTTACATGCATGATGACTTTGGGGAATGCAAACATTTAAGTTTTTTTGCAGTTCCTGGAGTAAAGGCTTTAGTGTGACAGCTAAAGCTGAGCTCCTAATTCAGCATTTTATTCTAAGATGAGGAAATGTGTGATGCAGCCGTGCAAAACAGCTGTTCTCTGCTCCACCCAGAGTCTCAGCAGATGCTTTGCAGAAAAAAATCAGGAGACATGCAAGAATGGCAAAACCAGTCCTCTCTTTGTTTCAGAGGTGCCACAGGATGGCAGTATTTCAATAAAGTTCCATGTTATTAAAAAAAAAAAAGAGGTTATTTTAATAACGTTTTTACTGGTCTTTGTTCTGGTCTGGGATCTTTACAATAATTGACAGAACTCTTGCTGGGATAAAGGGAATGTAACTGCCCAGTAAAATGTTAGAATGTTGTTTAACTGTACAGAATTCAGGCTGCAAGTGCAGCTCTAGTGTTGCCAGTTATTGGTTTGTGGCTGTAGTATGGCATTATTGGCTGAAAAGGGTTAGCTATTGAAGGAAGTAATTCAAGTTTAAAGGGCACATTTTTATCTCTCCGAGGCTGAACCTGAGCAGGTCCCTTCGGTACTTTGTTTCGCTTGAGTTTCAGTATTTTAAAGATTAGATTCTCAAACCTGGCCAGTCAGCATAACAGTGGGGAAAGAGCAGGGGAACATGTGCCAAGGAGAACGTTATACAATCCCTGGGGCTTGGGTATCTTGGGCTCAATGTCCACTGGCTTAAATCACAGGCACTTTGTCAGCTCCAGCAGTTCCTTTTTTTTTGCCAGTTTGTCTTTTCTCAGCTCCTGCCAAGGGAGTGTATTGTCCCACTTAAAGTTTTTTTTTTACCCTCAGAGATTATTTTGAATGACAACTGAATCTATGTTTTATTATAATAGAAAATTAAATGTCTGTATTTGACAGAAAGTTTGATTCTGCATTTTTTTATCTGTTCTTGACTGGATTTGTTATGTCATCCCTAGGACCTGGATGAAGATTTGCACCAAAAAATTGCAGCAGAAATGAACCTTTCAGAAACAGCTTTCATCAGAAAACTGAAACCTGGAGACGACTTTACCAAAAGTTAGTGGTTCTGCTTACAGGAAAACATCAGACAAATGCAGAATTCATTCAGAGTCACTCTGTGGATTAATTTTCAGCTGAATCAGGTTGCTGAATCTGCTCACTCAGCAGTTGTGTGGTGGTGCGAGCCAAGGGCTCGTCCAGTGCTCTGGACTTGGATTCCAGGTTAAGGAGTCACGTTTATCATCTTTGCTGTTTGATGGATTGTTCAGGGAGCAGGATTTTATACAGTCTCTGTAATAAAAAAAATTAAGGATAGTAGTAACTATAATTGCTTGCTCCTGTTAATAAACTGGGATTTATTTTAGGGTTAGACTAATTGCTTGGAGCAAGAAGTTACAGTACTTTTCATTTTTCATGTTAGCACTTCGCCAATACATTTAACACACTTATTTTCAAGTCATCCATATCTAGCAGCATACAAAATGGCAGCTTCTTTATCATTGTAGTGCTTTGGGTACTAATGGGCTAGTTTGTGGCTCAGACCCACACATCTGCCCCAGGGCTGCACAGGTCTTTCAAAGGAATTTGGTCACTCAGCTGCTCCTGAGACTGTGTGTGCTGGGGGGTGGTGGGAGTGGAGCAGGAGCATCAGAATGTCATTTACCATGTGCTTCTGGAGCATGAATTGGTCTGGTGAGGGCTCCTGGACACAGCGTGTGTTTCTGTTGGCCTTCACCTTAACTATGTTTAATTTAATGTTAATTAAAGAAAGCCAAACCAATCAACTCTGGTATTTTAGAGACGTGTGAATTTATAGGAGTGCTTGATGTCCTCTCAGTCCAAGTCTGGCTGTGTGTCTGCAGTGTCCAGGCAGCTGTTCTGGGTCATGTTTGTCTCCACTCAGGCCTGTGCATGACTCCTCCATGTCCTGCTCCCAGGCACAGTTCCCACTTGGAGCGGTGCATGAGCAGCACGGAGCAGGCTCACGGCTGGGCTGGGCCAGCTCTCACAGCACTTCCCTGCTGGGGCCCTTGGCTTCCACCACAGGGTTTTGTCTGGGTTCTATTTGTTTTTATTAGAGGGGACTGACATTAATGCACGAACTTCCCATAGTAGCAATGACAAGACTGGTTTGGATTTTAAAAGAATTATTTTTATTTTTCACTTCTAGTTGGGTTTGTGTGGTAATTATTCACTTGAAATGCAGGTGCAAAAGTTGAAGGAAACCAAGTATCATATATGTGTGTTCCAAATTTTTTAAACAGCAAATAGAAATATGATTTCTAGTGAAATGAAGGGTAGAAGGTAGAAATGAAGGGTTTGTAGACATTAGAGGTTTTTACCAGACTTAACTGGTGGTTTAAGCAAAATAATTAATAACTGACTAAGTCCAGTACAGGTTCTGTTATACCAACAAAACCATCTAAATGGTAACCTGGCCTGCAGGTGATACAGATCATGACTATGCCTCTGCAGGATTTCATAGTACACATGGACATGGAGGCTTTATCTTCTAAATAAGACCTGTTCAGGACAAAGGAGAATCTGTGCAGCATGCAAAAGTTGTTGACCTGGTTCAAAAGGGATAGCTATTCTGAAAAATCAGTGTGAAATGGGTACCTAAAGTGTATTTAGGACCAAAACTGATTGTAACATGCATTTTGCTTAACTGAAATATCATCACTCTATATATATCGAGATAAAATGAAGATATAGACTTCTTCCACTTAATAGCACTAAATAAAGTTTATTTTTTCAAGGCTCCTGCTTTGGGCTCAGATGGTTCACCCCAGCCAGTGAAGTTCCTCTCTGTGGTCATGCTACCCTTGCATCAGCTGCTGTGTTATTCCACGTACAAAGTAGGTTTACAACCTGTGCATTACTATAGTTTTTTAGAACATTTAGTTCTAATTAACATCTCTATTTTTTTAAGAGAAAGGCAATTAGACATTCAGAACATCTGTAGAACACAAATGGAGATACCCTGGGTATTGCCTTTTGCTTCTGCCCTGTAGTTACAAGGCTGTAGTCTGATGCCAACCCTCTGATTCCCATGCCCTGCTTTACTCTCGTTTAAGAGGAGTGCTAAATATGCAAATGTCATCTGGGGGAGGTATAGCAGGATTTGATGAATAGGGAATATTGCTCTTTCTGTTAAAAGGACATTCTCATTCATTCTAGGCAAATGCAGGAATGATTCCCTGACAATTGCTGTGTTTATTAGCCTCAGCAGATTTATTGAGTTAGTTGGAAATTTTGCCTACAATACAGTGTTGCTCTAGATATATTTGAGCTGCATAACTAACTTTTTCTGAATATACTGAGCTACTCCAAGGGCTATGATAATTTAGATTAAAATTCTAATTTGATAATGTTGCAATGTTCTCTCTAGAAAATACAAACTCAGTTCTCACGTTTGTGACACTGAGTGGGGAATTAAAGGCCAGACAAGTGAAAGATCATATTGTCCTGGACTTGCCACTTTATACAGCCTACCCCCAGGTTAGTCAAAATTTTATTCACGGCAGGTTTTCAAGGAGAGTATGTGTTTGTATGTGTATGTCAGTATATGTGTCTGTCTGTAGTTGCATATGTATATATATTGCATTTTTTACAGTGTGTGTATTTTTATTTTTCTTCAGGAGCTTAAGGAAGTAGAAGAATTGATAAAGGTAAAAGAAGAATCCATCAGTTGTCTTAAAAAAAACATTTATAATAGCTTTGCTTATTTTTATGTATTAAAATGGCTAAAAAATGGTGATAAGGCACTGCTTGATATACTCCTGAACTGGAAACACCAAACTTCAGAGCTCTCAGTAATGAGTCAGTAGGTCAGGGAGTGGAATTCTCCACAGTGCTGCAGCTGAACCTGTGTCTCCCATTTCCATTGACTGAAGTGTCAATATTTATTTCAATGGCATTTTCAGCCTTTTGTGTGCGTAAGAGGACAGTCTGTGTCCTTGCCCTCCTCTCGGTCCTGGATTTCTTCCCAAATTGACATGACATTGTAACTCACCCATATCCATACAAACACTTGGTGCATTTGCTTATCTTGCTTGCCTGTGCTTGAGGGTTGCATGGAAGACCTTGCATAAACCCTCTTCTAGCGGGGAATGTGCTCTACAGAAATGCTAAGGGAATAATATTTTCTATTCAAGTGGTGATGGGTTTTTTTCTGTCTCTACATTTCCCACCAGGCAGCGGTTGGTGACATGATTGTTCAAGATGTTCGTTATTCTCCCGACACAAAGAAACTCTTGGTCCGCCTCAGTGATACTTATGATAGGTACAGTGCAATCTTTTAATTGTTTTAATCACGAATGCAGACATTGAGTTGGCCTGTTTATTCCTTACATGCTAGACTCCTTTATCTAGTTTTAAATCAGGTGGAGATTGGAAACCCCTGATTTAAATTTCTGTGTAAAGTGGTTATTTTATCTTTTAATGTGAGCTTACTGAGGCTGCAAAGCTGAGTAAGATCATTCTGAATTCTGTCTTCAAGAGAAGGAGGTGTAGGAAGCAGTTCTAATGATGGTGCATTTTTCCCATCCATCTGAGCCTAAAGATGATCCAGTAACCTGGCGGGAAGTTGGGAGTCCTGCTTCAGTTCAGGGCACATTGGCACAATGCCAGGGATTCTTACTTCCATTGCACTGTAATCTGCTTACACATGCTTAACAGCACCATAAGTAGCTTTAGAGAGAAAATTCCAATTCAAATTATTCCAAAGCATTTGTCAATCTCGTCTGAATTTCATTGTTAATTCAAGTATGATGTAGGTATATACTGCTGAAACGTAACTTCTTCAATCAGGCCAAATCACTGTTATTACAAACTTGAAGTTTGGTCTAACTAATGGTTAAAGTCTGGGGTAATGGGGAAAAAGAAATATTCTCAGCTGAGTACTTATTATTTCACTCTTTCAGACTGTTTTGTAGGGAGGTATTAGCCAGTTGTAGACTGCTTTAGAATACCATGAAGACCTGAGTGACCTTAGTTATTTGCTTGCTCTGAAAGGAGGTGGAGCACTTGGTACATTCTGTAGTGAGGCAATAATTCTTTCAATGATTAAAATGTGAAACAAGGTGATTTTTTTGTGGCTAATATTTCAGGATGCTTTGTTTTCAGAGATAAATAGGAAATGTGTGGCTTGATGTTTTTCTCTGCTCATTCAGAGTGTATTAGGTTCAAGGTGATTTTTCTGTCAAATACCATTGTGAGGACAATGCTAGGGATCTTGTCTCCTCTAATATTTCAGAGCTGGTTTTGAATTGTAGAGAAGATGATTCTATAGCTTTATTTTTCTTTTCAGTACTTATATTCATGTAAAATGAAGAATTATGGGCTATTCAATTTTCATAATTATATTCAAGGTCTGTGTTGGAAAACTTGAAAGTGGGTGCACAACGCTTTTTGTCAGCTGACAAGACAGGAAAACTGAAAGGACTCATACTCACTGTTAAGGGAGATTCCAGTGGAAAAGGCCATGATTTTTACTCCAGATATTTTGCGCCTTGGGTTGGAGTTCTGGAAGACCCTGTTACAGGTATGTGTTTGTATGAAAAGCAGCTCATACTTTTGTTTCAGTTCAATTAAAAGGTTCTTATTCAAATTTATTAATCTGTTTTTGTACTTCAGAGTCTCTTATAAACTACTGGTTTATATGGATAGCAGGAGTGCTCATTAAACTAAAAATCTTATGACTGAGGCCAACTCATTCAGAAAAATCTAATCAGCTTCTTACTGTCATTAGGCCAGATATTCTTGTGTCTTTTTCAGATCTTTTCCCTCAAGTATTACAATTAGATAAAAGTGAGAGACTAGTTCATTACTGGATGAGTGTTGTAGTGGAAATTTATATCCTCTTCTGTTGGTGTTCTTTTTTTGTGGTGCTTTGGATTTTGTTTGGTTTTTTCCCAGTGCATTTCAGCTGAGATCTTCCCTAGTTTCATGACACTGCTGCTGTTCTCAGGCTTGTGGGAGCTCAGCTGGCTGCATGCTTAGGGCAGCAGGACGTGTTCCTGCCTGTTCTTCTGACTTGCACTCAGTGTGTTGATGATTGCTGCAGGATGCTGTTCTTTGCTTAGGGACCATTTAATTATTAGTCAGATGAGAATTGTAGCTAATGATAATGCCCTCACCTAGCAAGGTTTCCTTTGAAGCTAGAGGATGTGGAAGTAATATTGCTTTACCATAAATTGAAATTTGAATCTATGTTCTCTTAGGTTTTTTTTTTACCCTAAACACACGAGACACTAGATTTATGATATTTACATTTTGACAATACTTTGTGAAGTAGCGATTATAATTTAATTCTCTACTTTGTTTTGCAATTTCTTTTAAGGATCTGCTCATGCTGTTTTAAGCAGCTACTGGTCAGAGCAGCTGGGGAAGAAGGAAATGCTTGGTAAGAGAAACTGTTTTATTGCAAAGCTGTCCATTTATGTAAATCTACTCACTAAAAAAGAAAAGGTTGTATTACTACTGCAATCCAAACTGTAGCATAACTCCTTTTCCATTTCCTCAAGATGAATAGAATATTATGTAATATTTTGTGTGTGAGGTAGTCTTTGAGAAATTGCTTTCTTTCCTATCCACCACCATGACACATCATACCCCAGGGAGTTTGAAGTGTTGGTTTCTGGATCATAACTCTCTGCTGTCAGTTTTTGATCTTGGCTTTTGGATTTTAGTTCTCATGACCTTTCATCATACCTGCAGCTTGGGGAATCTCAGGGAATGTTTATGTCTTTTGATTCAATCTATGAGATATGCTTATTAGATCACATCTTTGTTAAGCAAGAAACTTAAGAACATGGTGGAAAGAAACCAAGTGAAACTCTTAACATATGACAGTGCTATGTGAGGAGGTGTAGGGTGACTCCTTGCTTCTCCTGTTTCTTTGCCAGAGAACAGAAGAACAAGAGAAGCAATACAAAATACCCTCATCCCCTGGCTGGTTCCCCAAGAGGGAACAGGGACAATTCTGCACACAAGCCTTTGGTTGCATTAGTTTAGAGCAGAGGTTGGATACTTGATCTAGTAAGGTTCTTTGTCCATAAAAGTAAACACTTTCCCAAACAAGCAGCTAGCCTGAATATCAGCCTTTCTGTATTGGGTCAAATGAATCTCAGAATGGATTTCTTGAGGATGGTAAGTCTTTAAAGGATCCACCATGAACAGGACCTTCTCCATCGCGGACCAGAGGAAAGATTTAACATTCTGTCCAGAAGATCTTGTATTTGCATTTACACCACACAGTATCTGTGATAGCTTAAATAATGTTGGGGGGAGGGGTGGGGGGAATCCCAACATATTTTCTGAAGATGAAAAACTGGTAATGTGTCCTTATGGACTGGCTGTTTCTCAGAAGATTTTGACATTTTTGGATGTTAATGTGGAACTGAAACTCCCCCTAGCATCTATAGACACTGCTTCTTTAAGTACTCAAATAGGCTGGAATTCTGTCTGTACTTAGAATTGACAGTTTCTACCTGTTTTTCATTTTCATGTATTTTGTATGTACTGTCCCTATTCTGGTTTTAGAGAAACTTGCTCAAGCAGCCAGGGCAATTGATACTGTAATCAGCTTCTCTAATATGTTTAGCACAAAAAAAGTCCTATCTCTCGTCCACAAGATAGGTTTGTGTTGTTTGGGGTTTTTTTTTTATATTAATATTTCATGCTTATATGTCCTCAAACATCTTCTGTGGTAGAAATCATAAAAAACTGTTTTAAACAGGACAAGATAATTTGATGTATGTTTATGGGAAATAACTTTTCCTTACATGTCTGAGAGGTATCAGCTAGTACTGGGCAAATTCTACTGCTAATGAGATTATTTGGAAAAGATAGGTGGCATTCAAGGACATACCATATCAGCAAGTATTAATAATCAAAGCATTCTTGGACTTTTTAGAAACCTCTGTGGTGTCTTCTGTAATATCCAATATTTTTTATTGCAAGAATAAAGGAAGAATTTCTTCCATAGAATGAAGGATGTGTTAGTTCCCAAATAGATAAAAATAAAGCAATATAAAAATGTGGAACATGAAATCTCTTGTCAGATCTCTCTGGCTATTGAGGCCTTTAGGAGGTCAGCTACAGCTCTTCTGAAGCATCAGACTTAATTTCCTGTGTTTGGGTTCTCTTCCTACTTTTTTTAGACTAAATTTTCAAACAACAAGCGCTCCCACCAACTACAAAGAGAATTTTCCAGTACTTTTACAAGGTGAAATAGTTCATGATCTTTTCTTGAAGCTGGGTCCATGTCCTTGAATTTAAGCTGTTTATTCAGTCAGGGTTTTGTATCAGTCCTTGCCTTTCTTTCATTTGAGGAGTCTCTGCAATGTATACAAATTACAATCTCTCAGATGTACAGACTTCCCCAGCTGCTAGTGAATGCAGTGTGTAACAGCTGTCTGTGTATCCAGCCCTTCACACTGTTGTCATATTTCTAAGGTAACATTTATAAACCTGCATAAGGAATTCCATACAACCAAACAAATTAGAGTGGACTTCCCAAGTTATTGTGATGAGAAAGGGCTTATCCACGACAGTTTTTATCTCAGTTGAAGGTAGGGGAATATTGCTATACCAGTTTTCTTGGGACAACTGTATTTATTTGTGGGGAAATCTGTTTCTTGTTACTGCCTTTAACTTCTCTGATTCCTTCTGGTACAGAACAGGTTTATAGAATTTTAGGGTTATTTTTTGGGGGACAGAAACGAAACAAAAATTACCACCAACATTACCAACAACAAAAAAACATATAAAAGACAGGAGAAGTTGCTTTGTTAAGGTACAATGAATCTACCTGTATTTAAGCTTTTGCTAATTTGAATTCTCAGGAAGTCAAGAGTTTTCATTGCAGTTTTCATCTTTTACATAAAAGTAATCTCAACACATAGATTGACAACATCAGATTTAAGCAGAAGTGTTACATTTCTTCAAAGGAGAGGTGCTTCCCTCCATCAGTCACCAGATTTGTCCAGATTTTTTCACAGGATAAAAAAAAGTCTTGGAGATCTTTGCTTGGGCTAAGGAACAAATGCTTCTTTCAGCATTCCTCTATAGAGTTGAGAAATTCAAACAAAATTTGAATTTCTTCAGTATTATTACAAGAGTGTCATTTCTTCCTGAGCTGATGTCATTTTGATGACATTATGAAGAAAATCCTTTATTCCTTAAATTGGTTAAGCAGGGGTCATTGAGCTCCAGCTAGGCTGGTAAGGAGCTCCAGAACAAGAGGATAATGTTTGTACAAGGCCACCAGCTGATGTGTGAATGCAGTAAAAGTAAAGTGAAATAAAGTGGACCAATATCAAAACAATCTCAGTAATCCTGACATGAAAGAGCTAGAGTTTGGACATTTAAAGAATAAAAAGCCAAACCCAACCAACCTTTGAAGAGTTGAAATAATTGATCTCTTTTATTTCAGTATGCTGTCATGTGGGAGTAGAAGGCCTTAGGTGTGTTTCCACACCTGGCAATAATAATTGATCAGTTTTAGCTGGTCTGGCTCTTTTAAGAATCTAAAATATTCACTTCAATTACTACTTGAAGCATTACTCCATACATAGATGGTGTTCTGACGAGTTAAAAACAACCCATGGTTCTAAAAATGGAAAAGAACAGGAAGTGTCAATCTCAATCTCTGAATAGATCCTGTTTCCACTCTATTGGAGTGCTTGCTTTGTCTGAGAATCTAATCTCCTGATCAAAGAAGAGCTTTCTTAGCAGCAGTGCCTGAGAAATAGTTTTAAAGCATACAGCATATATGGCATCAGAGAGCCTGTGCTCTGTTGGGACCTGAGTACAATCTCTACCCAAGAGCTTGTTGGCTTTGGACAGCTTCTGGAGCAGTTGGAAGTTCATTGAGTAAGGAGACTGAGCATCATTGCCTCTTCATCCATTTAGAGTCTTTCACAAAAGCAACACTGCTTGAAACTCAAACCTTTTCTAAATGCCATCTGAACCAGACCCTTTTCTGGTCAAGTCATGCAACTAAAATGAGACTGCTGAAATGAGTTAGAGACATGCTAGGTGAACATCATCCCACCTGTGTACTGCTCAACAGTCAGAGAAAAGCTTAATTCTCTAAGCAATTACAACCAGAAGGCTGTTTCTACTTCAGGTTTATCTAGTTGTATTAAATGATGTCTTCAAGATTCTATAAATCAATATCTGATGCATCCTGTGTAAGAATTTGGTGTCAGTTTCTGACAGCTGAAGCAGCATCTAGGTTTCTTTTTAGACTTTTCCCCACTGCCTTTGTGAACTTACTATCCTTTAGCCAGGCATGTTCTTTGAATGCAGCATCAACTTTTGGTGTTCAGTGCCAGCAAAACAGTCATTCATTCTCATGCAGATAACACTTGGTGTTTTTCCTTCTTCCCTCCAAAAACTGTATCCCACAAAGGGAGAATCCAAGACTTCTAGATACAGGGAAGAAACTTAATTTGCTACAACAAAGCAAACTCCCCCTCTCTGCTTGTATTAAGTAGCAGTTTTGTCAGACTCAAAAGGCGAGGTCTGGTTGTAAACACCCTCAGCTGACCTTCATCCCTGGAGGCAACTCATCCAGGGTGTCCCTGGTGCACTCTTTGCCCTGGTGCTGCTTGCTTCCTGCAGTCAGAAGCCTCCTTTGCCTGAGTTTTCATGGATTTCTAAATCATTTGTGATACACAGTAGTTTTTTAACTGTGGCTTCTTGTTTCTCTTTAGCTTTCCAGTGTTCCCGCCGTGGAGGAGAGCTGAAGATTTCCGTGCGCAGTGACGGAAGAGTTGACATTGCGGGGCAAACTGCTGTTGTACTAAAAGGAAACCTGGCTTTGTGAAGGAACTGGCACTAATCTCCCTCTTCCCTCACTAATTACTCATTTTTGTGTTGCTCTCTTTATGCTCTCTCAGCTCTAGGCAGTGAATTACTACTGCTCTCAAAAGTCTTTGATTGCTCATTGGCCATTTTTAAAAATTGCTTCAAAGTACTCACTTCTGATCTTCAAGATCCTTGGTATTCTTCACTTCCATCTTGCCACATCCTATGCACACTGACCAATGAAAATGTTTGTCTACAGCTGTCTTGGTTTTGTGCTTTGAAATAATAATTCTCTTTATTTCCAAATTCCGTCTTAAAATCCCTTACTGCTTCATGGATTAACTGTAAGCATCTGTTTGATAATCAAACTTTTCCCATGTAGATAATTTTTCATGAAATTTGAATTAATTAAAAATATATTTTCTTGGGTATATATTGAAATGGTAGCCATGTTCACTAACTTACTTGAATTAAAATATGAAAACATAGAAATTATTTAGAAATGTGCCTTGTGGTTCTCTTTTATGAACAGTATTTTCAAATGGTATTGCCTTTGATCCTAGCACTGCTGCTTAGTCAATACTTTTAATTAAAGGTTTAGTAGATTTAACAGATTGACCTTGTGATGCACATGAAGCTGATTAAGATCTGAGGGGAATCTTTATTGGTTACAGCAATGTCAATTATTTTTCAAAACCTGAAGATTTTCTCCTAAACTGAAAGCTTCTTCTATAATCTTTATGGAATGTACTGCTTCAGATTTTGTCACCATGATGTGGTCTTTCACTGGATTTATTAGGAATATGGAACTTTCAGTTACTCTAGCTAAAACTTTTCCCTTTCAAGTCACCTCTGTCTTAACCTTTGCTTTAGTTCTTTGCAATATTTCAGGGTGACGTGTTTTGAATTCAGAAGACAGCCTAATACTATGGGAGCAGTTGGATGTCATCCCCTTGTAAATCAGCAGGAACTTAGTTGTGCCAAGTTCCCTTCTTTCCATTTATTTTGAATTTTATCAGAACTTGTTAGTTACATCTTACTTAAGTCCAAGTAGCTGGACAAGTGTGAGAATCTTAGTTTAAATAGAAAATTCTATCTCCTGCAGCTACAAAGAACACACCAAAAATGTGATTTAACTGTGCTCCTCAGCTCAGAGGCTAGGTGGCAAGCAAAAGGAGCGTCCAAATGAAATGCACATTCTTCTCCTGTCTTCAGTCTTGCTGGAGTTGGTGGAGCTGCAGTATGATTTATAACCCTGGACCTGTGATCAGGTGCAGATCACAGCTGTGGCTGTGATCAGCTGCCATGGCAGCTTTGGCCCTGGCCTGCTGTCCCCACAGCTCACATTGTTCCCTGGGTTGTTCCCTAGGTTCTTCCTGGCTTCTGGAGCAGCAGTGCTGCTGCATCTCATTCTTCCTGCTGGCTTAGGCAAAGGCTGAATCTGGCCCATAATCAGAAAGGCTTGTGGAAAAAAAGCCTTCCTTAGTAGTATAAATGAACTAAAGAACCAGTTATTGTTCACCCATCCACATTTAACAAATAGACAGTACAATAATTTCTTTTACTCAAGAGGACTAATAATGAACATGGCCCATACATTTCAAAGAGTCTTGTTATCTAAATTTCCTGACCAAACGAATATCTTTGCTGCTTAAAGCAATTTTTTTGTAGTTTACTACTACTTTGTCTCTATTTCTTTTCAGGATAGAAAAATCACCAGAGCTCAGGTGGGAGGCTATGCAGTAATGTGTTTGTAATCAACGTATTAGTTAATCAGCCATGATTTATTAATGATGAATTAATTATACCTGAATGTGCAGTTCTGCTGCCTAAATGGAGCTTTAAAGGAGTTATTTTATTAATCATCATTGTCTAATTGCAGACATTTACAGAAAGATTGCTAATTAAACATGCAACCATATGCAAAACAACTAAGGCTGCTGAGAGTGGCAAGAAAAAGCACTTATTTTCTGAGGAGCAACTTTATTCTGAAATATTGTGTAGCTGACCAGGTGATCCTGATTATTCACCAAGACTTATTTTAATGTATTGCACATTTCAGTTAACAGTAAAGGAAATCAGTTGTGACAAATTCTGTCTTCCCATATAAAAAAATAGGTTGTGCAGACTTTAATATTATTTAGAACTTCTGTGGCCTTGTTTCACATCTTTTTGCAGAGGATTTGTTTAGTGTTTGTGGTGCAGAGGATTTGCAGAACTGTTTTGTGCTGCTCTCCTAATTAAGACTGGTGGCATAGAGATGTGTTGAACCAAGAGCAAATTACATGAAGGGAAATACAATTCCAAAAATTCCTGTGCACTTGGGTGTTATTTATTGTGAGAGAGTCCAACAGAAGCTTCAGGCCACTGTAAGGCTGGAGTAAATCCATGGCTAGATCCAGCAGCCCAGACATGAACATTTAAATGCCCTTTTGCTTATTTTGCTTCTTTGGCACATGCCTCTGTAGGGGCCAGGAGGAAAGCACAAAGCCATGAGGAAGGAGGCAAAACAGGAAACTTCAGTGAGGAACAGAAACCATACCAAAATTTATTGCTATGGAAATGAATGTAGAGCTTAAAGGGATGTAAAGAAAATGGGAATAATTCAATAAGCCATTTAACAGGTTTGCTTAAAGGAGTCATGAAACTACTTTGCACTTCTTGTGCATTATTTAGATGAGAATAGACAGAAAACATACATTAAATTTGGAAAGTTTTGCAAGAAGAGGAAACTATAAAGACTTCATGAATGTGCACACAGCAAGAGGTCATAGAGAGGAGCCATGTGTTCCATAAGGGATGGGAAGGGAAATTAGCAACAGATGAGGCAGTTATTTCTGGGAAAGGAAAGATTTCTTTGTCTCAGTATTCATCAGAGTGACAGGGAAACAAGCCGGGAACAGAGGGAACCTTCCCAGAAGTAAAAAAAAACCAAACCCAAAACCTAAATTAAAATAAAGGCTGATGCTTGGTCAGGTAAAAATTAAATTAGTTCAATTAAAAACTGAAAAATCTGCCAATTAGGCACATTTTATTCTCAATAATTTTATCTATTTTTTTCCCCCAAGGAGTAAACCTGTCTTAAAATTAAGAGATTTAAACAAAAACACAGAACAAGGGATTTTTCTCAATTGCTGAGTCATTGTCCTTTTCTTTCCTGAAGTTTACTGCAAACCATAAATAAAAATTTCCAAAGAATAGGAAAGTGGAAGAATAAAACCTAGGATATGACCAGATAGTCAATGGTGTGTATGGATTTTTTCCCTAGGAAATTTGTCTTAGACTAAGACATTTAGATTTAATGTCTAAAGCAGAACATGAAAAAAAAATTCTAACTCTGTTGGTTTTTTTGTGTACTTTGACTTGGGTTTTTCCTCATTGATTGGGAAAGAAGGATATTCCTTGGATTTTAATGCTGTGATTCCTATAAGCCCAAGGTTTATTCACATTGCAGTGTTCTGTGACTTTTTTGGTGGTACACCCAAACCAGGAAACTGCTTCCCTGTGTGTCATTTTTGTGTTGGTAGGAGTTAAAGGCAGGTAAAGTACATGAGGCAAACCCAAGGAAAATTCTGCAGAACATTTGTAGGATTGTGGAGCTGAAGGAGGTGTGTGAGGAGCAGGAGGTGCAATGCCTGAGTGGAGACAATGTGAGCACTGTTCAAACCCTTGCACAGCCAGTTTGGATGATGTGGCAGTCAGGCTGGGAGATGCTAGGCCTGGGAAGAGATGATGTGGATTACAGCAGAGCTGGAGCAGGGTGTGAGGTGCAGCAAAGCCAGGAACCTGAGTCTGACTTCAAATGTCTTCTTTATTGACCTTTGCTGTGCTTTGGAGCCAAACCAAAGGGGACTGACCAGAGTGCCCATCCTACCAAGGTGGGAAATTCCAGCTGGAATTCTTGAATTTTTTTTCTGTTTCAGAAAGCTTCCTTTCTCCATAATTAGTTATGGCTATAAACAAAAATAAATTAGAATCTTCACGGCTAGAATCATTTCAGTCACCCTTATTCAGGAAGAAATGGCTCATTCCTGAACAATATAATTCTATTTTAAGAACAGACTTTTGGGCTTTATTGTGTTTACACAATAGCAGCTTTCTAAAGATGTGTCTGGTTGACTTCCATACTTAACATCACAGCCTCTTTTCTTAACTGTATTTTTAAGGATTATGGGCATTAAAATTTTCAGAGACCTTTCAGCAGTCAGTTAATAGCAAAAATGAACAAAGTACCCTGTTAATAATAAACTGCAGGCACTTTTTAATAAAGTTACAATTTCAGCAGAAAAAAAATATAGATTAAAAGGAAACACCTGCTCCTGTAAATTACTATGCTGCAGGTACCAGCCCAGGAGACTCTGCAGATGGTTCTGTATTTGCAAACCTGACCTCCCCACCCCTTCATCAATCTCTCACCGATTGATTCTCTCCAGAGCAGAACACACCATGTCCCAAGGTACTAGAAGACACCTTTGAATTAAATTAGTTCCAGACAGAATACCAGTTAATTGGTATTTCTGTTTCATTTTGGAAGTTCTTAACAAAGGATTTGATTGTCTTATTGAGCACTGGCACTGACTGAAGAGCAGTGCAGCCAGTTCCAGGAAGAGCTCCAAAGGGAACTGTATGTAGAAGGTGATCTTTGCTGCATTCCTGGCTGATTGGGAGTGTGGATTAGGTTGTGCTATGTCCCAGGATTTTGAGATGGAGAAAAACAAAGTAGGATCTTGATCCTTAGAACAGTACAATATGAATTCATTGCTGCTGTTAGGCTTTCCTGCCAGCCAAGGAAAAGTAGGAGATACCTTAAGTTGTGGGTTTGTTTCCTCTCCTCAGTTATTTTCAGGCATCTTGTTCTTTTAGTGAGAGCTGACACTGATTGTGGCAGTCTTGTCTTAACTAGGAGAAATCTTCTTACATGGTTCTAACTGGGCCTGTGCAAAGGCCTTGTGCAATTTATTGAAACTTTTTTGCTTTGGGGGAGAAAATATCAACACCCTGTCTGGAAAACAGCCTTGCTGAAAAAAGTAGAGACAGGCTCATGTCTCCTGTCCAGCCATACATACATACTCCTCTTTTGTCACCCATATTGCTCGCAAGTTTTCCTTGTGTTTGACTTTAAAAGCATCCCTAATTCTTCAAATCAATAGCACTTTCATCAGAGGCACATTTTTCTGTGAGTCTGAATTACACAAGTGTAATTATTACTGTGGTCAGACTTTTTTTTTTTCTAAATTGTAAGAAAAAAAATTAATACATATCTTTTCACTTCTCAATTGTATGTGAATAAGGCCAGCTGCAACAGAAATAGAGCTGCCTTCCTGCATTTTTTATGGGAATTAAAGTCCATGAGTAATTGTTTACGTAAATCATGATGTATGTAATTAAATAAGAATGATTGTGTAATTTATTTTGTGTGGAGAGAAGGAAACTTGTATAACAGCAGTGGCTGAAAATATTTATGTAAAAATGATTAGAACTCTTAATTTAAAATTTCCACTGT